TAATGTCGTAAAAACTAGTAGATTTCATAAAAATTTGAATATCTGACTTTTATTGACAAAAAATGAGAATATCTAGGCACTAAGGTAACAGTGTTGCCAAAATTAGGAGCGGGACACAATTTTAAGAGGGACTTGCCTAACAAATGCAATCAGTATAATTTAATTCTTTATACCCTCAATGAATCCCAAACAATTTTTTAAAAAAGGAATTTAAATTAAAAAATAATTGGTTTTCCCTCTAGAGCAGTGTTTTTCAAACTTTTTTACCTAACAGCACACTTAAATCTAGAGAACTTTCGCAGCACACTTAAATTATGTTGATCAGAGAAAAGAGTAAAACAAATAATATATTTACTGTACTTTGAACTTCTTTTAAAAATAATTTAATCTTTAAAAATCTTCTCAGCACAGGGTTAAAAATCCCTGCTCTAGAGGTTCAAAACAGTCATTAACTTTTGTTAAGTAAATCTTAGCTATTTATTATTCACTGCAGAATCTTAGCTAATATTCACCATAGTGATATGATGGCCAGCCCCCAGGGTCCTGGAAAGTGGTCTGTGGCCTGTTAGGAGCTAGGCTGCACAGCAGGAGGGCCAGCAAACAAAGCATCTGTATTTACAGCTTATCATTGTTCGAATCACTGCCTGAGCTTCATGTCCTGTCAGATCAGTGACTGTATTAGATAGTCATAGGAGCTGGAACCCTGCTGTAAACTGCATGTGAGGGATCTAGGTTGTGGCTTCTTATGAGAATCTAATACCTAATGATCTGAGGTGGTGGTGGTGAGGTGGTGATGCTGGTGCTGGGGTGGGGCTGCACATAGATTATCATTAGCAGAGATGTCTGACTGCACAGTAGACCACAGTAAATCAATAGTTTGCAGACTCACATCAAAACCATCTCCCCACCCCAGTCTATGGAAGAATTGTCTTTCATGAAACTAGTCCCTGATGCCAACAAGGTTGGGGACTGCTGCCATGGAATACTAGATAAAATTTTACATGTAGGAAGCAGCAGCTCTTCATTATTGGAACCTACTGAAAGATCATTTCCTATTTCTTTAATGTGCTACCATAGTTATCCAAAGCATTTGGGGCAGCTTGTAGTTTTGGATTATCTCAAATTTGCTCCCTGTTTATCTAAAAGACATATACACATACTTATGTGTACATGTGTGATATATGTGTGTAGATTTTTCAGACATGGATATAAATAGGCATATTAAAAATCTGTTTACAAATAAAGCTAAAAGATCCCTAAGACCTTTTCAGTAAAAACTCCAGTGACTTGTATGTGATTTTTTTTTTAAGGTAATAGATAAACCAGCATGGTTTATCTCATTTTTATCTTACCAGGATCTCATGAGAAAACTCCAGAGAGACAGTGTAACATGAGAAAACTCCAGAGAGACATTGTATGTCATGATTTACATGTGTTCATTTAGTTCTCCTAACAACACTGACATGACCTATTATTATCCCCATATTACAGTAGAAGAAACTAACCTTGAGAAGTTAAATACCTTGCCCAAAGATAGCTATAAATCTAAACTGGTTTTATTTATCCTTTGTGAGACCTGACCCTTTTGTGTTCTGACTACTCATGGCCCATCTGTTTGATGTTCTTGAAGAGTTCATCAGTAGTAGTTTCCATAGTCCACCTTTTTGCACAGGCACCTCTCCCATTGTCTATGATCTCTGGTAGTGAGCATGTGACCATATCTACAAATCCTTTCAGTGCTCTGGACAGAAATTTCAGGACCTGTGTATAAAGAGTCCTACCCTAATTTTCACTTTCATCTTAACTAGTTGAATCAAAATAATTAACAGAATTCTGTCAATCTCTTAATTATACCTACTGTTGTAGAAAATGCATTTCTATACACACCTTGAATTGTGTCTTATGGACTGGAATACCATCATTTTAAGAGTCTAGTAATAACAGCTAGCCTTAAGCACTTCTGGACCTTTTGTTAATTGCCTTACAGGCACTATTTCAGTTAATCCTCACAACAAACCTTTAAGGTGTAGATAAAGTATTCATTCCAGATAAGGAATTTGAATCTTACAGGAGTTAGGTATTTTATCATCCAGGGTAAAACATCGCTGACTATTGAGATTGAATTATAAACAAGGTCTGAATTCAAAACTGGACCTCTAAGCATTTTCTTTTACTGTTATTCTAAGAAATTCTTGTCCATAGATTGTTTTATTGTGATAGATGTTCCATAAAATTTGCATTTTTAAGTTTGTAGTTGGGTGACATTAAGAACATTGACCTTGTTATACACAGTTTACCACCATCTCTAGGACTTTTTAGTCCTCTCCAACTGATACTCTGTATTCATAAATTTTTTAAATTAATATTTCAATACACATATCCATAATATGTCATAGGATTACCTTAATGTTTCACTGATTTTTTTTTTTTAAGACAGAGTCTCACTTTGTACCCCTCCTTATAGTACATAGTATCATAGCTCACAGTAACCTCAAATTCTCGGGCTCAAGCAATCCTCTTGCCTCAGCCTCCCAAGTAGCTGGGACTACAGGCTCCTGCTACAACACCCCACTATTTTTAGAGATGGGTTCTCGCTGTAGCTCAGGCTGGTCTCAAACTCCTGAGCTCAACCAGTCCACCTGCCTCAGCCTCCCAGAGTGCTAGGATTATAGGTGTGAGCCACTGCACCTAACCTGTCACTGATTTTTATTTGTATTCCCAAATATAAATAATCATGACAAATGTTAAACCACAACTAACTATAAAAGTTACTAATAATTGACTCAGCGCCTGTAGCTCAGCAGCTAGGGTGCTAGCCACACACACTGGAGCTGGCAGGTTAGAATCCAGCCTGGGCCTGCCAAACAATAATGACAACTACAGTCAAAAAATAGCTGGGGGTTGTGGCAGGTGCTTATAGTCCCAGCTACTTTGGAGGCTGAGGTAAGAGAATCACTTAAAGCCAAGAGTTTGAGGTTGCTGTGAGCTGTAACGTCACAGCACTCTAGCCAGGGTGACAGCTTAAGACTCTGTCTCAAAAAAAAAAAAAAAAGTTACTAATAATTTAAGGGCTAGGCACAGTGGCTCACACCTGTAATCCTAGCATCTTAGAAGGATTCCTGGAGCTCTGGAGTTCAAGACCAGCCTGAGCAAGAGTGAGACCCCGTCTCTACTAAAAAGAGAAAACTAGCCTGGTGTTGTGATGCATGCCTGTAGTCCCAGATGCTTGGGAGCCTAGGGCAAGAGGATCCCTTGAGCCTAAGAATTTGAGGTTGATGTGAGGTATAATGATGCTACAACACTCTCCCCAGGGTGCCAGAAGTGAGACTCTGTCTCAAAAAGAGAAAAGAAAAATGTTATCTAGGTATTGTGGTGCATGCCAGTAGTCCCAGCTATCTCAGAGTCTGAGGCAGAAGGACCACTTGAGTCTAGGAGTTTGAGGCTGCAGTGAACTATGATGATGCCACTGCACTTCTTAGCTCACAGATTTCTCTGGGCTTGATAACAGTGTAGCACATTTACCAAATCCTATTTGATCAAGCTGTGTGTCCAGTTGGTTTGGTTAGTTCCCTTAAATCATTTAACATAGAAACATTAACCGGATTAAGCTGGGCTGTGATGGTGTGTGCCCATAGTCCCAGCTACTTCAAAGGCTGAGGCAGTAGTTTGAAACCAGCTTGGAGAACATAGTGAAACACTGTCACTTATGGAGCAAAAAAGAAGAAAAGAGAGGATTGGCCAGATTACTTATTTTCTAAGTTAATGGGTCAGCTCAATCAAACTTTGGATCTGGAAAACATGTTTAGAGAACCTTGTAGGGGTGTCCAATTTGTGGTCCTTGGGCTTCATGAAGATTATTTGAGGACTGTTTTGCTTATGTGTAGTGTCAGATATCTCAAAAGGTACACACAGACCTGTTTTTTGCTCATCATCTTGTATTAGTGTTTATGTGTGGCCCTAGACAACTCTTATTCCTCTAATGTGTGGCAGAAAAGAAAAAAGGTTAGACACCCTTGCCTGAGTTTAGAGCCTGCATTATGTTCCCTACAATCTCTTCTGTGGTACTACTATATTCTTAGAGAGTACATTGGTAGTTCGAAACATCTGAAGTCACTCAGTTTCAATTCTGCAGTTAGAATCCACTTTTCATTCATCTGTCAAATATTTATTTAGTGTGTTTTTACTGTGCCTTACTTTCTGCCCTTCAGTTAATTGCCGAAAAAGTAGGCACTGATCTGTGAATTTTTATAGTCGTTTAAAATTACAGGATCATATCTATCAAACAGTTTAAATGTTTGTTAATTTGTTTAGTCAACAATTACATCAATAATTAATAAATCATAATTCAGTAAAATTTATAGAGGCTGATTTTTATGGACAGCAGTTTAAATTAGATTTGAATTCTAGAAAACTTCAAAAATGGACAGTGGAATCATCATTGTAAAGAGACTGTTTGTTCCCTTTCCATTAACTATTTCTGGGATGCCTTCTATGTGCCAGGCACTATACTAGGCATTAGGGAATATGATTATGAACATCCTGTATATCATTCCTGCTGTCTGAGTTTATAGTCTGGTTGACATATATGAAATGTCAATGAGACTATAATGACTTTAAAAGTAGTTAAAGCATACTTATTCTTTAGCTTGTGACCTGACCAGAGCTGTAGCTGTGATAGTCTTATAGGCGGATAGTGGAGTCATGAGTTAAAACAAACATTGTTATGATTTTATTGACGTTCCCATCAACTCCTTTATTTAGGGGTACTCAGTGTAGCTGCAGAACCAATATATATAAGTAATACGTGCCCTAAGTAGAAGAGAGAGATGAACAAAGGCTATAAAGGTAGGGAAGAAAATTGTGAGAATAACATGAATTCATGTTTAAGTTGATTTATCACTACGTACTATGAGTATTTGTATACATTTAGTGTTCTTTATATATTTCAGTGTCCTGTGCTATTTGTTAAAAAACAAGTTGTCACTTGTTTTTTGTTGTAGACCAACTGGTGGGAGTGACAAGTGGACAGCAACAGCTTGTGACTGTCTTTCATTGTACCTGACTGGAGCTGTAGCAACGATAATCTTACAGGTAGGTAGTGAAGTCATGAGTTACAACAGATATTGCTATGATTTTATTGATGTTCCCATCAACTCCTTTATTTTCTTTCTAGTTGAGAAAACAGCAAAGTAATTTGGATATTGTTGCTAACTTTGTTGGTTTTGTTTCAAGATATAATGCCTGTTAAATGAGTAGATGTGCTGCAAATAATTGTGTGAATGAGTCAAGGTAATTCTTTCTTTCTTTCTTTCTTTTTTTTTTTGAGACAGAGTCTCACTATACTGCCCTCATTAGAGTGCTGTGGCCAGCCTCAAACTCTTGGGCTCAAGCAATTCTTTTGCCTCAGCATCCCAAGTAGCTGAGACCACAGGCACCTGTCACAATGCCTGGCTATTTTTTTGTTGCAGTTGTCATTGTTGTTTAGCTGGCCAGGCCGGGGGCTAACCCACCAGCCTAGGAGCAGGTAGCTGATGCTGTAACTACTGTGTATGGGCTCAGAGCCAAGAGTGCCTTTCTAAAGCTATTTGATACTCTTGCTAAACTGGGAAGATTGGCTTCTAGTGACATTAATTATGTCATAAAATGTATGTGTGAGTATGGGCTTCAGAAGAGGTGTGCATCTTTTCAGAACACTTACAAATACTCTGCTTCTTTTACTTTTTCTAATTTAAATATGTTCTGCTGCATTAATAATTAGAATTTTGTTATATAACTCATCTTTATGAGTTACTTCTTTCTATATAGACTTATGAGTTACTTCTTTCTATATAGACTTTCTCCCTTTTCACAATTTCTTCCAAATGAAGTAGAATACATTTTTTGTAGGGGGACAAAAGGAACACCTTGGAAAATATATTTTGCTTCTATAATTTGCTAAGAGTTTAGTGGAACAGAGAAACTTGGTAACTGGTAGTGTGTTCCTCCTAACCTCTAGTTCTGAATAAGTGTTTTAAATTGTTTTCTTTTCTTTCTTTTTTTTTTTTTTTAAGTTTCACCTTGGCAGTATCAGCTGATAAACTTCACAAAACACTGTGCTTCTACTGACTCCCTTCAATTCTTTTTCTGTCTGATATATGTAGATATCAAATAACTTTACTCAGTAGGAAAATTTTTTTCTTGTATTTAGTGAAATTTAGAGAAAGCACCTATGAAAAGTAGGCACTTTATAATTGCTATATAATCAAGCACCTATAAAAGTAGGTGCTTTATAATCGTTTATAAGATTTCATTTTTATATCTCATATTTATTCTGCTCTTGATTCACTGCAGGAAAACAGTACAACATGGCCACTACCTGTGAAAATTTTCTGCAGAGATGAAAAAGGAGAGCGTGTTGATGTTTCTAAATATTTGATTAAAAAGGGTTTGGCTTTGAGAGAAAGGAGGTATCGACTTTAAAAGAAATTTTTTTGACGTCAGTTTGTGATGGTTGCTTGTTATTTGCCTGTGCAAATCTTACATGTGTGCCTTCACACCTGAATTGCATCATTTGCGCCTACAGATTTATAAACTAACCCCGAAGACACAGCTCAAAAACAAATTCCTTTAGAATTGCTTATTTATTTGTTCAGGTCCATTAGTTCTTGCACACTTAAACCCTATACTGAAATATTTGCTTTTTTTTTTTATATTTTATTTTTTTGCAGTTTTTGGCCGGGGCTGGATTTGAACCTGCTACCTCCGGCACATGGGGCCAGTGCCCTACTCCTTTGAGCCATGGGCACTGCCTGACATATTTGCTTTTATAATTTCCCCCTTTTTTTGACATTTACCCTCTAAACCAAAGAAAAAAAGAATTGTATGGTGGGTGCCAGATCTGAGTTCTTTCTCATCCATAGCTTAGATGGAAATATTTAAGCTTCATTTTAGAAATTCCAGTAGGTATATATCAAAATGTATTTTTATGAAATAGAAATGAGTAGCAAAAACAGGAATTGAGCAATATTTACATTTAAAGATTGTTTCAGTTACTAATTTGGGGTTTAAGAACCTTTGATTCAGGGGGCAGGAATGGAACATTGTTATGGCCCTTCTGGAGACAAAGGTATGCTGGAATTGCAGACATATTTCCCAGGTAGTCACTTTGTACCATACATGGCCAGGTCTCCTTAGAAGTGGTTGTCTTAAATTATATCTTCCCTTATTTGGACCAAGACCCTAGTCTTGATGAATTGAAAAGAGAATGAGAAACCAGAAATAAAATGGAACATGAGGTAGTTGGCTAAGTATGGTAGTTGCTACTTGAGTTTGCCTGGGCATTGCAGTGCCTAGGTGTCGCATTTCTCCTCTCACTGTGTCTCTTTTGGGTTCATTGCCTTTAGGCTAAAGCAGTACCTTGATAAAAGAAATGTTAAAGTGGAAAATGCCAGGCAAGTTAATACTATCTCACCACCAGTTGTTATGTTCTCTAGTGCTTTTATGACAGTAAAACTGCTAGATATCTTAAGGTGGGGTAAGGGGTGGGGAAATGGGGGCCAGGGGTTGCAGAATTGTATAACTTGTTTGGTCAATGCTTATTTCCTTTTGAAAGTGCAGGAAATTGTAAGAGACAAACCCTCCTATAATTCTGTTAAAATACGACACGTATTAATATTTTCTCCTAGGACTTTTTTTTTTTTTTTTACATCAGGCTTGTTATTTTTGAATTGGAAGGAAAGAACATGAAGTAGAAAAATTGAGTAAATGTATAATAGCATAATTACCACTAAATATCTGAAAAGTACTAATGTTTTTTAGAGGCTCATTTTCTTTATATTATTTTATGAATGTTAATAACTTGGCAGGTATATGTGTTCTATCTTGGGATTAAATTAGAATCAACTTAAAGGTGTTATATTTTCCAATAACATATAATTATTATACAATATTTTGAATATACTTATGAGATTTTAAGAGAGAATAACATGTAAATATGAGATAGTAATTTAAAACAATTAACATATTGCTTTTTTCTCATCAGTCTCATAATTTAAACTAATTTTCATTATAACTTAAATTATTCTAATCTTTATATAACATATTAAACTAACATATCCTAGACAAGAGCAAGTATTTTCTTTAAATTTGAAGTATATTTGAAGGATTCTTTTTGTATTATTTTTCCCAGAATTGTATATCTGCTCATATTTACATATGTTCTTTTTTGATATTACAGAATTAATAAATTCGATAACAGCCACTTATTATCTGAGAAGTCTGTTGAAATCCCCCTGGAACAAGAAGGTTCAATAGTTACTAATTGTATTAAAATCGACTCTGACCCTGACAAAAAAGCTGCTGATACAATCAATGAACATAAGTTGTCTGAGGTTACAGAGAACATTCTAGAACCAAGAACCACTGGATGCTATAAACCACCAGCTATTCCTAACATCAAAGTATTTGAGGCAGTAGTCACCTGCATTGGTGATGATGGAACTATATTTGTAGTACCTAAACTGTCAGGTAAGATCTTCTGTGTTAAGTAAGCTTAGTCAGTAAAAGTAGATTTAGCAGCTCCCAGTTGTCTAGCAAGATAGACATGGATTGAAATACCTTGGGCAAGTAATTAACCTCTTTAACTTCATTTTCACAGAGTTGTTAGGAGGATTAAATTATTTCGCTCACACAATACATGCAAAGGCCTTTTAACAATGCCTAACATGCAAAACTCATTTAATGAAGTTTTTTCATTATTATTCTAACATAGGAGTATTATCTGTTATAATTGTGTGCTATTCTCAATATAAGAAGAAAGGAATTTGGAATTTCCATTTCCACTATTATAGAAGATTGAATCCTCCCAAGTAAGTCAGGTCAAACGCTTGGGTTTTTTTTAGTTAACATTTACTATTTAACATGAAAGTGAAAAATATACCAAGCTTCAAAACAAAGTGAAACCACACACTTGGAGGTAAGCATGTGCCAAAAAAAGTGTTTACTCTCAGAGTTGCCTCATAGAATTAAAACCTTGAACTTCCTCTGTGAGAATTACACAAAGTTCACAAGAAAATAAAACTCAAGGCTCTGTTTTTAAAATGTGGGAAATATAATATGAAACCATCACATAAATATGGGATCCTACAGGATTACCCCCACTGTATAGTGTAAATTTACTGTGCTAGACATATTAATAACTAAAAGTACATGCTTTTTAAAGGCTATGGTGGCTCGTCATTTTGTGAGGCCAAAGTGGGAGGATTGCTTGAGCCTGAGAGTTTGAAACCAGCCTGGGAAACACAGTAAGACCCTCTCTCTAACAAAATATAGAAAAATTAGCTGGGTAGTCCCTCCCTTTTCTTGGGAGGCTAAGGTAAAAAAATCAATTAAGCCCAGGAATTTGGGGCTGCTATGAGCTCCAGTTATACCATTGCACTTCAGCCTGGGCAATAGGGTGATACTCTGTCTTAAAAAAAAGAAAAATTATTATAAAATGCTACAAATGTGAAAGAATACACAGCATAAAAAGTTTTAAATAAAAATGTTAAAAGGAGTAGTGATATAAACATTGTCCAGGATAAGAAACAGTATCACCAGAACCTTAGAAGCCATGTGGGTCCCACATGATCATGACTCCCTCTTTCATCACCCAAGACAATCACATTCCTGAATTTGTTATTATCATTTCGTGTGTGTATCGCTAAACAAATTTTCTCTTTCAAACTTTATTTGTGACTTTTCATCAAAATGTTTGAGGGTTATCATCTTAATGCATCTAAAATATATTTTGTTCATTTTTTATGAATTAATGTCTTCTAATAAATGATTGTGTCTCCATTTTGCTACTGATGGACAATAGTAGTTTCAAGATTTTTGCAATTACAAAAAAGTGCTGCTGTGAACATTCTTGTATGTGTTTCTTGATACACATGCAAAACTTTTCTAATCAGGGTACATCCCCAGTGAGTGAAATTGGTGGATTATTGAGGATTATGTATGTATGATCACCTCTTCTAGGTAATGGTCATATTGTTTTAAGAAGTGGTTTGTAACAATTTACTCTTATCATTAGCTATTAGCCATTTGTTAGAATTCCCATTGTTCTACATCCTTGCTAATGCTTTGAATTACCAGATTAAGTTTTGCCCATTAGTGGGTATGAAACTGTCTCACTGTAGCTTTAATTTGTATTTCTTTAATTACTTATGAGGTTGAACATCTTCTACTTGAGTCTTTCAAATTCCCATGTTTATGGAATGTCTGTCCGTGTCTTTTGCTCACTTTCTATTAAGGCATTGCTTTTTGATGCACAGTTCTTTTTTTTATTTCAGATAATAAGAGGGTACAAACAATTAAGTTACATTGTTTGCATTTGCTAGGTAAAGTCCTTGTTGTACTTGTGTCCTGCACCCAAGAGGTGTGCCATATACTCTTACATTGTGTCCATTAGGTGAGAGCACACCAATCCCCCTCCCCCCCCTTCTTTCTCCTCTCTCCACACAACTTGAATTGAGTTTTTTCTCTTCTATGGGCATGTATTAGTTCCTCTGCTGGCTTCATATTACTATCGAATATATTGGATACTTGCTTGTCCATTCTTGTGATACTTTACCAAGAAGAATATTCTTCATCTCTATCTAGGTTAATAAAAAAGATGTCTATCTTTTTATGGCTAAATAGTATTCTGTGGTATACATGTACCACAGTTTATTAATCCATTCATGGGTTGATGGGTACTTAGGCTGTTTCCACATCTTGTTGATTTTGAATTGAGCTATGAGAAGCAATGTAGTGTAAATATCCTTATGATAAAATGATTTTTTTTCTTCTGGGTACATACCTAGTAATGGAGTTGTGGGATGATGCACAGTTTTTTTTTTTTGTTTTTTTTTTGAGACTGTCTCAAGCTCACCCCGGGTAGAGTGCCGTGGCGTCACAGCTCATAGCAACCTCCAACTCTTGGGCTTAAGTGTTTCTCTTGCCTCAGCCTCCCAAGTGGCTAGGACTACAGGTGCCTGCCACAACACACGGCTTTTTTTTTTTTGGTTGTAGTTGTCATTGTTGTTTGGCAGGCCCAGGCTGGATTCAAATCCGCCAGCTCCAGTATATGTGGCTGGTGCCCTAGCTGCTTGAGCTACAGGCGCCGAGCCTGATGCACAGTTTTGTTTTGTTTTTTTATTTCTTATAGCATAACTATGTACATTAATGCAATCATGGGCTACAGTGTGCTGTTTTCATATACATTTTGAAATACTCTCATGAAACTGGTTAACATAACCTTCATGTCATTCTCTTAGTCATTGAGTTAAGACATTTATACTCTGCTTTTAGAAGGATTCACTTGTACCCTTGTAAGATAAACCATATAGGTGACCCCACCCATCACCCTCCTTCCCCCCATCCACCCCCCTCATCTCCCCTCTCCCACCCTCTAATGCACAGTTCTTAATAAGCCCAAATGCTTATCCTCTCTCAGCTTCATGTATTACAAATACCTTTTCTCAATTTCTCACTTATCTTTTCAGTGTCTTTTTGAGGTTTCTGGATAAACAGGCCTTAATTTTAATGTAATTTTATCAGTCTTTGGTTTTTTTGGTGTCTCATTAAAATTCATTTATTCTAACTTGATTACCTCTATGAAAAATAACAATAATCCTTACTCTGAGATCAGAAAGATATTCTGTATGATCTTATAGAAAAGTTCATAATTTTTTTATGTTGTTTTTAAGCAATCCTAGAATTGATTTTTCTGAGTAGATGGAAAGAAGAGATCCAGTTTCATTTTTTATGGGTTTAAAAGTTGTCCCAGCCCTTCTACTTAATACTCCACACACACTCTGTAAGATTCTATGTGTGTATGTGTGCATGAATTGTTTCTGAACTTTCTATTATGTAATATTAGTCTATTTGTCTATTCCTGCACTGGTACCACAGTGTTTTTCATTGTATAGCCTATACTGTTTTGTTTTGTTTTGATTAAATCATAATGTGTACATTGATGCATTTATGGGGTTCAGTGTACTGATTTGATTTACAATGTGAAATGTGTAAGCCTATACTGTTTGTAGTTTATATACACCTTATTTGTTCTATATTCTGTAATACTGGAAACATATTGGAGCCAAACTCCCTCCTTGTTCTTCTTTAAGTATACTCCAGCTCTTGAAGTGGTGTACCCTTTAATGTATCCTGTTATTATAGGACATACTGTGTGCAAGTGTTGTAGGATAAAAAAATAAAAAAGACAAAATTAGGCTAGAGATGAGGAAGGAAAACTTTTTTTGGAGAAACACCCATGGCTTAAAACTGATAATCCTAATCATTTTCTGTAAAGACATTTGCACTAGAATGTTTACTACAGCTCAGTTCACAATAGCCAAGACATGGAATCAACCCAAGTGCCCATCACCCACGAGTAGTTTAACAAACTGTGGTATATGTATACCACAGAGAACTGTTCAGCCGTAAAAAGAGACAGAAATTTTACATCTTTTGTGTTTACCTCAATGGAATTAAAACACATTCTTCTTAGTAAAGTCTCATAAGAATAGAAAAAAAAGTATCCACAGTACTCATTACTAACATGAAACAAGGAGATAAATGAATTGCATACCCACATGAGAGAAAAACACAATTAAATTCAAGTTGGAGGGGAATGAGGAATGGGGGGGATTGGTAAACTCTCACCTCATGTATACAATGTAATGGTGTACAGCACACCCCTGGGTGAAAAGCTTAACTACAACTTGAACTTCACCTTAGAAATGAAAACAATGTAACCTAAACATTTATTTGTACCCTCATACCAATCTGAAATTTTTTAAAAAAGTGATAATCCTTTTTAGAGTTAGAAACTTTAGAGTAGAATAGGGAATGAATTCAAATAAAGATAGGCATAAATAAGATAAAGGGGTCTAACTGGTTGGAAGAATAGAAATAATGAAGTTTAATAAGAATAAGGGAATTAGGATGTGATCACATAGTTGACAAAAAGCCGTTGGGTCTTTAGTATCAGGCTAGGTCAGGGCCACTACTCAGATAATCTCTCCTGATTCCAAAGTTACAGAGTTTTTGTGTACCTATAAACCTTAGAATCCTTGAGAATGTAAAAATCCTAGATCCCCAATTTTTGGATATCCCAGTGTGGCAGTGATACTTGTGGTTGGCAGAATATAGGGTTTACAGACTCCATCAATGATTATTCAGACATCCTAAGTACTCTTCCAACATGGAGGAGGAGCATCATGAGAGGGTGAGGGCACCTAAACAACTCTGACATAGGACTGACACAAACTGACCTGCTTTCTACCATGTTTCCCTTATTTTCCCTACATTGGGACTAAGATAAAGGTGGGAGTGGTTCTAGGTTTGTAAGATCTAGTACTTACACAGAAGTTTGTATGTATTTGGAATGAGGAAAGAAATCACAACAAATGCATGGAGATTGAGTACTCTCTGAGAATATTTGGGTCCTTCTGTATTTTCCTTAGGCTTATATGCAGATGCTTTCTGACCTCAGCCTAGGCACACTAGAACACTATAACTCTAGTACTCACAGAGTTAAGTGCCATTGGCTCCCTAGTAAGTCCACCTATAGATCAGAAAAGCTCTGAATTAGCTGAAATTTTTCTCTCATATATTTATTTACTGCCTAAATAACATTTTTTATTTGAAAGACAGTAAGTCTGTGTAATTGGTTGTTCTAGAAGAAATGAACAGCATTTGAGACCTATAGTAATAATACTTAACCAGAGTCCTTGACATGGATAGTCATTGCTCAAACTGGCAGTGTTGTCAGCATCCTTGGTGCTTTTATCTTCCTGCAGTGCTGATAATGCAGTAGGTGCTATTATACCTAGTTTACAGCAGAACAATAAACTGAGGCTTATGGAGGTTTAGGTACTTATACAAGAGGCTTATGGAGGTAAGGTACTTATACAAGATTACACAATTAAAGCTGTAGGACTGGGATGGGAACTGACTCCAGAGCTTGCCCTCTCTGTATCAGTTATGGGGATATATATTTACTGTGGAAATATGGACCAATTAGCAGTTAAAGCAAAATTCAAAATTTTAGTGTTACATCCCCAGTGTCATACTATGTCTAAGCATCAAGTAATACATAACTTGTATTTTGTTTTACTTAGGTATGCTGCCAAAGTGACATCTGTTGTTTTTTGTTTGTTTGTTTTTGAGATAAGAGTCTCACTATGTTGCCCTCGGTAGAGTGCTGTGGCATCACAGCTCACAGCAACCTCAAACTCTTGGACTCAAGCAATTCTCTTCCCTCAGCTTCCCAAGTAGCTGGGACTACAGGTTCCCACCACAATGCCCAACTATTTTTTGTTGCAGTTGTCATTGTTGTTTAGCTGGCCCAGGCCAGGTTCGAACCCACCAGCCTCAGTATATGTGGTTGGTGCCATAACCACTGTGCTCTAAGTGCCAACCCCCAAAATGACATCTTAAATTGGTATTTCTTTTATATTAGGCCATTTGGCATGTATTTAGAGCTCTTTATGATGTTTGTACTCTCAAAATATAATCAAAGATCAGTGCTAGGTGTGGTGGCTCATGGCCTATATCCCCAGCAACTCAAGATGCTGAAGGAAGAGACTGCTTGAGTCCAGGAGTTTGAGACCATGCAATGCAGCAAGCCTGCTCATCTGAAAAACAAAAGAAAAAGAAATTAGCCAGGCATGGTAGCACCTATAGTCACAGCTACTGATCATGCTATTGTTTTCTAGCCTGAGCAACAGAATGAGGCCTCATCTCCAAAATAGAATAAGTAAACATAACAATCAAGTATCAGAATAATTATATGCTGCTAGTAGCATGTTTTGAAATAAAGATTTTTATGAAAATAGGACTGATTTTTAGTTCTTTATGTTACCTAAGTTATGAAATTATGGAAAATTAGTGATGACTTATTATTGAAAAATGATAAAAAAAATTTTCCTCAATGCTTTATATCTTTAATATTTTTTCCAGAATTTGAGCTAGTAAAAATGATGAATGAAATACAGCGTAATTTAAAATGCCTTGGTCTTTTGGAGCCTTATTTCTGGAAAAAGGGAGAAGCCTGTGCAGTAAGAGGATCTGATACTATGTGGTATCGAGGCAAGGTGATGGAAATTGTAGGTGGCACAATCAGGGTGAGTCTGACATTCTGTTGTGGCCATTTTAACACTAAATGCTACTTAAGTTATCTTTTGAGTCTGGATGTATAAAAATTTGGTTAAAATGTTTTTGATGACTTTAAACATGTAGGAGGATCCTTATCTAACAAAAAAAAGCAATTAATGTAACCTGCTATATAAAATACATATATATATGTCGGAATATCAGTCAGCTATGTTATATAATAGTAAGAATCTTTCTTTTATTTTGATTAAAATGTTTTTGATGACTTTAAACATGTAGGAGGGTCCTTATCTAACAACAACAAAAAAAATTAATGTAACCTGCTTCTATACACTGTCAGTGAATCCCCAACAATTATATATGTGTGTGTGTATATATATATATATATATATGTAGGAAGATCAGTCAGCTATGTTACATATTAGTAAGAATCTTTCTTTTATTTTTTTATATCTGTAGGAAGATCAGTGAGCTATGTTATATAGTAGTATGAATTTTTCTTTTTATTTTCAAATATATTTAGTAACTTCAATAACCAAAAAATATTTCTAGGTAGAGGTTTGATCCATTGACCTTAATGAATCGACCACTTAGTTATAATTGATAGCACTATTTGCACACACGGTATTAAGTAAAATAGCTTTTTTCCAATATGTACCATATATATACCTCCTGAGCAAATTTGTGCATGGCCTAGCTGATCCTTTGAGCATAGAGGCAAATTACCTTTCCAGAATGATGAGATAGCATTCAACTTTCATTCAAAATCTATTAGAAAAGGAAGAACAAACCAAACCCAAAGCTAGCAGAAGAAAAGAACTCACTATGTAGTGGGTTACAACAGAACTAAAATTAAAAAAAAAAAAAAAAACAAAAAAAATAGAAAAGATCAATGAAATAAAAAGTTGGTTCTTTGAAAAGATAAACAAGATTGGTCTCTCTCACCTTTTCTCCTTCATGAGAGGGACCTATTTCCAACTCTCTTTGGAAATGCTCTAAACTTTCCCTTTGTTATTCCTATATAAAATCTCTCTGTTACCCTAAAAAGAAAAAAAGAAAAGATAAACAAACAAAACTGATAGATCTCTTGCCAGATTAACCATAAATAGAAGAGAAAGGATCCAAATAAGTTCAATCAGAAATGAAAAGTGAGATATGTATATATTACAGCTGATACCACAGAAATACAAAATATCATCTGTGAATACTATGAAAATCTCTACACACATAAACTTGAAAATGTAGAGGAAATGGACAGATTCCTGGAAACACATAACCTCCCAAATCTTCATCAGGAAAGAATAGAACTCCGAACAGAACAATAATAAGCAATGAGATTGGAACAGTAATAAAAAAGCTTCTAACAAAAACAACAAAAGCCCTGGACCAGGTGGATTCACAGTAGAATTTTTACCAGACCTACAAACAAAAGCATCAAGGAGAGAATCCTCCTAACTCACTATGAAGGTAGTACTACCTTAATACTGAAGCCAGGAAAAGACACACCAAGAAAAGAAAACTACAGACGAATGTCCTCTATGAATTTAGATGCAAAAATCCTCAAAAAATACTAACAAACCAAATTCAACACCTATATCAAAAAAATAATCTGCCATGACTAGGTGGGCTTTATCCAGGGATGCAAAGTAGTTTGACATACAGAAATCAATAAATGTGATTCACCACATAAACAGTAGCAAAAACAAAGAACCTGTGATTTTTCAATGAATGAAGAAAAAGCAAAATTCAGCACTTTTCATAATTAAAAAAAAAACCTCAACAAACTAGATATAGAAGGAACATATCTCAAAATTATAAAAGCTATATATGACAAATCTATAGCCAGTATTATTAGTGGGGAGAAGTTGAAAGCATTCCCACTAAGAACTAGAACAACATGAGAGCTCCTTTTTATTCACTTTTATTCAACATAGTGCTAGAAGTCCTACCCATAGCAATCAGGCAAGATAAAGAAGCAAATGGTATCCAAATCAGGAAAGGAGAGGTCAGACTGTCACTTTTTCCTGACAATATAATCTTATAGCTAGAAAACTCCACAAACACTCCACCAAGAGATTCCTAAAATTGATAAATAAAGTCAGCAATGTCTCAGGTTACAAAATCAATGTACACAAATCAGTAACTTTCCTATAAACCCATAATAGTAAAGTGGAGAGTCAAATCAGAGACTCAATACCATAAACAGCTACAAAGAAAATAAAATACCTAGGAATATACTTAACCTAGGAGGTGAAAGATTGCTACAAAGAGAACTACAAAACACTGAGGAAATAAACTACAGATGACATAAACAAGTGAAAAAACATATGCTTACGGATTGATAGAATCAACATTGCTAAAATGTCCATTTTACCCAAAGTGATTTATAGATTTCAATGCAATCTCCATCAAAATACCAACATATTTCACAGATCTAGAAAAAATAATTCTGCATGTCATGTAGAACCAGAAAAGAGACTGAATAGACAAATCTTAAGTAAAAAGAACAAATCTGGAGTCATCACATAACTAGACTTCAAAACTATATTAGAAGGCTGTAGTAACCAAACAGCATGGTAGTGGCACAAAAATAAGAGACATAGACCAATGAACAGAACAGAACATAAACTGTCCACGTAAGCCAATCAATCTTTGACAAAAGCAGACAAAGGGGAAAAGAAGCCCTATTCAATGAATGGTGCTGGAAGAATTGGATAGCCACATACAAAAGAATGAAATAGGATCCATATCTTTCACTATTCATAAAAATTAATTCAAGATAGATAACAGATTTAAATTTAAGTAAGGCCTGAAACCATAAGAATGCTAGAATAAAGTGCTGGAAAAACCGTTCTAGATCTTGGCCTAGACAAAGAATTTATAAAGAAAAAGTCCGACAGCAACTATAACAACAAAAATAAATAAATGGGACTTGATTAAATTCAAAAAAGCTTCTGTACTAAGCTAAGGAAATAATCATCAGAGCAAATAGTCTCTAGAATGGGAAAAAACATTCACAAGCTATACATCCAATAAGGGGCTAACAACAGAATCTACAAAGAACTCAGCAGATGAGCAAGAAAAAAATTAAAACAACTCCATTAAAAGGTAGACAAAAAGTTAGGCGGTGCCTGTGGCTCGGTGAGTAGAGTGCTGGCCCCATATACCAAGGGTGGTGGTTTCAAACCCAACCCCGGCCAAACTGCAACAAAAAAATAGCTGGGCGTTGTGACGGGCACCTGTAGTCCCAGCTGCTTGGGAGGCTGAGGCAAGAGAATCGCCTAAGCCCAGGAGTTGGAGGTTGCTGTGAGCTATGTAACTTCACGGCACTCTACTGAGGGTGATAAAGTGAGACTCTGTCTCTACAAAAAAAAAAAAGAAAGAAAAAGTAGACAAAAAGCTACATGCTGTGGTTCATGCCTGTAATTCTAGCACTCTGGGAGGCCAACACAAGTAGATTGCTCGAGCTCAGGAATTTGGGTCCAGTCTGAGCAAGAGTATGACCCTATCTCTACTGAAGAAAAAAAATAGAAAAACTAGCTGGCACATGTAGTCCCAGCTACTTAGGAAGCTGAGTGAAGAGGATCACTTGAACCCAGAAGTTTGAGGTTGCTATGAGCTATGATGATGCCATGACACTACCCAGAAGTAGAGATCTGAGAACATGGTGAGACCTGATCTCAAAAAAAAATTAATAATAATAAGTGGACAAAAAATATGAACAGAAACTTTTCAAAAAATGATAGACTAATGGCCAATAAATGTAAAAAAAAAAGTTCAACATCATTAATGAGGGAAATGCAAATTAAAACTACAGTGACATATCCAGGTAGAATGGCTCTTACTAAAAAGTCCAAAAACAATAGATGCTGGTATAGATGCATAGAGAAAGGAGTATACATACACCGTGAGTGGGACTGCATATTATAATAATACAACCTGTATGGAAAACAGTATAGAGATTCTTGGAGAACTAACTGCAAGTGGGCTTATTTACCATTTGATCTAGCAGTTTCACTGCTGGGTAAGTCATTTTATCAAAGGGACACTTAAATGTTTATTGCAGCACAATTCACAATTGCAGAATCAAAGTAGTGTGCCCATCAGTTTAGGAGTGGATTAACAAAATGTGATATATTTATACCATAGAAGACAGATGAATTAAGGCCTTTTGCTATAATTTGTATAGAACTAGAGACTGTTATCCTAAATGAAGTGTCTAAATGGAAAAACAAACACCACAAGTACTCACTTTGAGATTAGAACTTAACCAATAAGCACACACATGCACAGAGGGAAGTAAAACTCAATGGAAATTAAGTAGGGGGGGTAGGGGGTGGGGATGAGGGGATGGGCAAAAACCTACATAATAAATACAGTGAACACCATCTGGGTGAGGAGCATACTTACAATCCTGACTCAAGTGTAACAGTAGTGATCCATGTAACCAAAAATGTTTTAACTCCTATAATATTTTGAAATGAAAAATAATCTTCAAAAATAGCTACATGCTTTAAAAAAATGTATACATGTAAAAATGCAGATGAAAATATCTCCATTTAGGCTCAGCGCCTGTGGCTCAAGCGGCTAAGGCGCCAGCCACATACACCTAAGGGGGCGGGTTCGAATCCCTAGCCCGGGCCTGCCAAACAACAATGATGGCTGCAACCAAAAAATGGCTGGGCGTTGTGACAGACGCCTGTAGTCCTAGCTATTTGGGAGGCGGAGGCAGGAGACTCGCTTGAGCCCAGGAGTTGGAGGTTGCTATGAGCTGTGATGCCATGGCACTCTACCGAGGGGGATAGCTTGAGGCTCCGTCTAAAAAAAAAAAAAAAGAAGAAGAAGAAAATACCTCCATTTACATTGCATTTACTAAGTAAAGTGATGGAATTCATGAAGTATTTTATCAGATGTTTGAGATATTTGTGTTTGATGATGATAATACTTACATAGCACTTGAGGTTTTTTAACTTCTTTCATAAATGTTCATTTGTGTTTTATAATTTGTTTACAACTATCCTAGATATAGATTATTATTCCCATTTTACTAATAAAAAAATTGAAGTGTAGGTTCAGTGACCTACTAAGGTCACCCTGTCTTTGAGTAGTAATCCTGGAATTCATATGCAAGCATCTGATTCTGAACTTCCTAGCTAGTTTTTCTATTTTTAGTACAGGGTCTCACAGTTTCCTCAGCCTGGTCTCCTGAGGAAAGGCAATCGACCCACCTTGGCTTCGCAGCATGCTAGGATTATAAACGTGAGACACCACACCCAGCCTGAAAGTCAATTTTTATCAAGTTATCACTCTGCGTGAACTTTACATATGTGAAATCCGAATAAATAAGATTTATTTTAACTTTTTATAAAAATTTCTCATGCCATCTGAATATCTATTTTAATTAACTTAAAAGTACTTTGAGAATTTAATCATGCCTTTTATATTTTCCTATGGTAATTTTACATTTAAAGTCTACACGATGTTTTCATTGCTTAACTTGGTATGTTTTATAAAGTTTATCTTGTGATCCACATTAAGAAATAAACATTTCATGAAACCATATTCACCCTAGCTACCTGTATTATACTCAGATTTTATTTTTATTTTTTATTTTCTTACATGCCACCTACACATAATTAAACAGTGATGTGTTCATTACATTGGGGAAAGAAGAAATAACTTGCTACCATTCCTTATTCTTAAGACAATGTAGAAATTGATTTGTCAGAATTAAATAAAGCATTTCAAAAAGGGGTTGCTCCTGAATTTGTAAATCTAATAAGACCTAATTTTTCAAAAAAAGTTTTGATTTATAGGTTCAAAACACCATGGGGTAAGGAAATACATAAATAAATATGTTGCTTTTTTCTGGAAGTTTTTTTCAAATCCAAATTTGGTTATCTTTCTAGGCTGTTTTATTTTTTAAATTTTAACACCAGAAAATTCCTTCCATACCCTTGCTATTGATAATAAATTTTAACTATAAATTGTATTTGTTCTGTTTCAGGTACAATATTTAGATCATGGATTCACTGAGAAAATTCCACAGTGTCATCTTTACCCTATTTTGTTGTATCCTGATATACCCCAGTTTTGTATTCCTTGTCAGCTCTATAATACCATACCTGTGAGTATGTAATAATTTGTGGGATGATTAATTGTAAATATTGCTTTTTACTAACAACTTTTTGGAACTATTTAGAATGTAAAATAAAATCTCAGTTGCAATAAAAATAATAATAAAATACTTACAAATAAGTTCAGTAAGACACTAAAGGGCCTTTATGAAGAAAACTGCAAAATTATACAGAAGAATATAAAACATCTGAATAAATGACAAGCATACTATGTTCATAAATGGAAAAGCATAGATTTGTAAAAATTGAGTTTTCTTTATCAAATGAAATTATAACAGAAATCAGATGAAAGAGTAGCTTACTAATTATCTCTTGCTACATAACAAATTAAGCTAAGAACTAGTGATCTAAAATGACAATAAACTTTCGCTATCCCATACAATTTCTGTGAGAGATTTTTGCTCAGGGATGGTAGCAGCTTTGCTGGGTGATTTTAACAAGGGTACCTTGGGATATTACAAGCAAAATGTCCAACAGGATGTAGTCACCCAAAAGGTTGACTAGGGATGGAGGACCCATTTCAGAAGGCTTACAGTGCTGCTGGCAGGAAGCCTCACTTCCTTGTCATGTGACCCTCTTCACACATGAAAATATAACAGTCACTGTTCCTTAATAAATATATATTGTAGGCCATGTACAAGCACTGCATTGGTCTTAAAAAGTTTTAAATGTGATATTTTTAATGTAGGTTTATATTTTTAAAGCATAAAATGTTTTGTTTTTTTTTTTGAGACAGAGCCTCAAGCTGTCCCCCTGGGTAGAGTGCCGTGGCATTACAGCTCACAGCAACCTCCAACTCCTGGGCTCAAGCGAGTCTCCTGCCTCAGCCTCCCAAGTAGCTGGGACCACAGGCGCCCACCACAACGCCCGGCTATTTTTTGGTTGCAGCCGTCATTGTTGTTTGGCAGGTCCAGGCTGGGGATTCGAACCCGTCGCCTTAGGTGTACGTGGCTGGCGCCTTAGCCGGTTGAGCTATAGGCGCCGAGCCAGCATAAAATGTTTTAAGTGAATACTATAGGAAGAAGCTCAACCAAATGATCCTTTTAAGATCATTTTTATCGTGTACCCATGATATTCTTTGAAAACTACTTATGTATTTTATACTATGGCTACTTTTGTCTATCTTAATTTGCTTCCTGATTTGTCTTATTTTATGAAAGTATAAAAATCTGAGTTTATTAATCCCAAATAGGTTGGGAATGTCTGGCAACCAGATGCAATAGAACTTCTTCAGGAGCTGCTTTCAAAGAGAGAAGTGGAAATACATATTATGGTAAATTGTATTTAAAGAATATAGAACTGGTTTAAATTATTTGCCATAAGATGTTTAACATAATTTGAGGAATTTTTGATGATAAGCAACAGCATATGCATTTTTTTTTTTGCTACCGAGTCTCATTATGTCGCCTTTGGTAGAGTACAATAGTGTCACAGCTCACAGCAACCTCCAACTCTTGGGCTTAAGTGATTCTCTCGCCTCAGCCTCCCAAGTAGCTGGGACTACAGGTGCCCGCCACAACACCCAGCTATTTTGGTATATGCATTCTTGTGTGAGTGTAAATTATTCACTAACGTAAAAGAAGTTACCCGTTTGGTTCCTATCTTTATTTTAAATCTAATTTTGTACGAGTTCCTGAGAATTTTCATGACCGTATAAGTAATTCAAAAAATTCTTCATTAACAACTTACTTTAATACAAAGGGCAGCATTAAATTGTTGGAGGTGTTTATGAATATTGGAGGCGGTGTTTTGGATTGGGCCATATATGTTGCACTATGGTAAATGCAGGTAATTCAGAGAGTCTCTCACGATCCCCATTCTCAAAGACCTTATGCAGTTAGTGAAACAGGACATAAACCTAAAAAATTCACTGTACAAAGCAACATGCTGAGAGCCAAGTGATTGGTAAAAAGAATTAGTGAGAATTGAGATGTTGAGAATTGAGATATTCCTTAGGGAAAAGATGGTAAAGTTATGGCTGGGTAAATGAAGTGTACAGAATTCACAGGAAGACATCTTTAGAAATAGTGCATCTGTTTGACTAGAATAACACAGGTTTTGTGAAGAGTAGTAATGGTATATTGGATTCAGTAGAGGTCGGAGCCAGTTAGCAGGGCCCCACTAGAGATTTCTGAGCAATCAGGAAGTAAGGTCAGTCTGCTGTGTTGGAGGACTCTTGAGAGGCACAGACTCACTTAGACAAGAAAGTGACCTGTGTTAGTGCTAAGAGCCCCCTGCCTAGGTACTTGGTCTTGATGGCAGGTCACTAAGGTAAAGATAGAAATGTTTTAGTTTTGTCAAAGTAGCTTTCTTTACTGCTTAGTTTAATTAATACAGGCAAGAGAGTACTTTGTGATATAGCAAAGGCTGCTAGGTTTCTTGGAGCTCACAGATGCAGAGCCTCACAGCCCTGCTCACTGCACACCTGCCTGAGCTCCTTATACCTGGCAGGTACGCGGAGGACAGATGCTGTTGAGCGACAGCTGGGTATGAGGCTCTGCTCTATTGGTGGGAATCAGAAGATAAAATAAAAAAACATAAACTGCAGGAATATTAGATAATGATAAGTGCTAGGAAGAAAAAACAGAAGAGACTGATGGGGAAGTTCTGTTGGGGAAACGTTCCTGCAAAGGTAGCATTTGAGTCTAGATCTTAAAATGGTGAGAGGACAAACCATGCAGGTGCTGGAGAAGAATGCTGAGGGCGCAGGCAGGGCACGTGGAACAGAAGCAGCCGGGAGAAGAGTGGGCAGCTCAGCCTGCAGGAGGGGACGTGGACAGAGGCCTGGCGGGTAGACAGGAGCACTGCTGGGCAGCAATGAGCATGACGCAGCCAGGAGATGAGTTTGCATAAGGTGGGGCCAGTGGAAATGGAAAGAAATCTCCACAGGTCAGCTTATCAGTTATAGATATAGTCATTACCCAGTAATTGGGCTTTATTCAGTGTTTTTAAAATGTTATGATGCCTATTTGGGGGCCCATTCCTGCCATTTTGGAATTTTTAATGAAACTTCCTTTTTACCTCTGAACATGTAGCTTCTCTTTCTCCATCTACTTAGTATAAATTATTGGTATTATCTAAAGATGATGTATATAGATTATATATGGTAAGTGATTTTGTAGTAGGAACTAGAAAACTCTTTAAGTTATGGAGATGTAAATATATTTTACATAAACCAAAGTAGCAAAATTACTGCCTCAAAATCTGTAACAGTACCAGGAAGAAAATTCTGTGAAATGAGTCACTAATCAGACTATAGTAATATGATTATCAGAAGGCTAATTTTGTATTTGTAGACTATAAAATTTTAGTTATCAAATAGACATTTAATTTATACTAATAATCTTATTTATTGAACTTAAATAGGAATTACCAAAAAGTCCATGGGAGAAGTTATCCATTCATCTTTATTTTGGTGGAATGTCACTTTCTTACTTTATGGCACACTATAAATATTGTACTTTTGAACATTCTGAGGAGATAATGAAAGAAGTAAGTGATCTGTTTTCTACAAAAATCTAAACTATAGAAAAATTAATTTTGGTTAAAGATGTCACATTTTGTCTTACACCTAAAGTCTTAAATAATTTTACACTAAGAGAACTTGAAGACTTGTAAATTCTTTATTAAAAAAGAACTACACTCTATTTTCATGATTTGTAAATGTCCTAAAAAAAACTTAAATTTCATTAAGATTCAAATTAATAACTCAGGATCCTATCCCTTCAATTCCAGCGAGATGCCCATGATATCCAGTATTGTTTGAATATAGGAATGTATACAGGGTGTTCATAAAGTTCATGTGCAGTTTACAATGTAAACGTATTATAAATTGCACACAAACTTCATGGACACCCTGTGTTATAAAATCTTTATAGATTTCAATACCAGAGGAGGACTTTCTTCCCAGATGAAATGTTTCTTTACTTTACATAAAAGCCATATACAACCCACATTTTAAGCTTAGCTTTCATAAATGACTCATAACCTGGTGTTTAATATTTTTTAAAAGATAATTAGCCTGTTATGGATGTGGTTTCACATTTCAAACTGCTATAAATCTTCTATAAGGATAGGGTATGCATTATAATAACATTTTATATCATAAGGTATTTTTATATCTAGAATTACAGTTTACTTGTTAAGGTTTTTGTTTTTAAGACAGAGTCTCACTCTGTTGCCCCAGGCTAGAGTGCAGTGGCATTAGCCTACCTCATTGCAACCTCATACTCCTAGGCTCAAGCTGTCCTCCTGCCTCAGCCTCCTGAGTAGCTGGGACTATAGGCAGCTCCACAACACTAAGCTATTTTTTTCTGTTTTTAGTAGAGATGAGGTCTCACTCTTGCTCAGGTTGGTCTCAAGTACCTGAGCTCAAGCAATGCTCCTATGAGCCACCCATGCGAGGCCTTCTTGTTAGGTTTTTAAATATTCATTTTGGTGATAGTACACAATCACCAACTGTTCTCTTCAATATAGAAAACTACTTTCTTCTCTCAAGTAGAAACTGTGATATTAAAGATAAAATGCCAGCTTGTTCTTTAAAGCAGTAACTTTTGTGTATGTATAAGTGTTTAAGAAAGGTAAAGGTATGTTATTGTTAAACTAGTTTTATAAAGATTACTTAGTTGTACTCTTTTTTTTTTTTTTTTTTTTGGAAACGGAGCCTCAAGCTATCCCCCTGGGTAGAGTGCCATGGCCTCACAGCTCACAGCAACCTCCAACTCCTGGGCTCAAGCGAGTCTCCTGCCTCAGCCTCCCAAGTAGCTGGGACCACAGGCACCCGCCACAACGCCTGGCCATATTTTGGTTGCAGCCATCATTGTTGTTTGGCAGGCCCAGGCTAGGGATTCTAACCCGCCACCTTAGGTGTATGTGGCTGGCGCCTTAGCCACTTGAGCCACAGGCGCCGAGCCAGTTGTACTCTTTACTGTAAACATTTTATAGGAAAAGATAAGAGCTCCCACTTTTAAATTATTTACCATTGACATGTGTTAGCATAATTTTGAGGATTCTCTTATTTTCTTTTTCAATAAATAGGGCCTCACTCTGTCACCTGGGCTGGAAGGCAGTGGCCCAGTCATAGTTCATTGTAACTTCAAACTCCTAAGCTCAAGCAATCCTCTTGCCTCAGCCTCCTGAGTACCTGGGAATGCCCCCCACCACACCTCACTAATTTTCTTTTTCTTTTTTTTAGAGACAGGGTCTCACTGTATTCTCCAGGTTGGAGTTTTGAGAATTCTTTTTTTTTTTTTTTTAAAGAGGAAAAAGGCTTTATTCAGCCAGAGGAGCAATAGCAAATCTAAAAAATCTCAAAATGGCTGTGCTCCCCCACTGGCTTGGTCTTTTCCTTTTTATCTCCATACAAAAAGTTCCAACCCACAGGTACCTTTCTCATTGGTCAGTTTGAATCACACTGGAGAAGCTCCTCCTGCAAGAATTCTTATTGTTGAAAAATTAAGACAGATGATTACTCAGAACATTAAAGTTTCCAGTAGTTAATCTTAAATAACTAAATGAATGCCCATAAAGACATGTACCCAGTTTTTGTGGGATGAAATATGAAAGTGCCTTAAAACAATATTGAATAGTTAAAGGGGGTTTTACTCCTATATAACTCAATATGGGGGTATATATGATTTACTTATATACTCAATATATTAACTATATTACTCATTAATTACTAATAATACTATATTTTAGAAACCAACAGATTGTGATAAAAAGTATGAGGAAGAAGAATGGGAAATAAGATTTGAGGTAAGTAGCAATTCAAATGTTTTAGAAACTTTAGATACTCCATCAATACAAAGGATGGATGCAGGATAGGAAGTAAGAGTTTTCTTTCATAACACAATGAAGTTCTTTCATAGTGGGTTTTAGTATTCAGTGAGTTTTGTACCACTAATTCCCCCAAGCAGCTCTAAACCAGCAGCAGTCATTCACCATTTTCCTCATCCCTGACTTCACGATGCCCACTTAGTCTTCTGTCCCTGTGGATTTGCCCATCCATCCTGGACATTTCCTTTTTTTTTTTTTTTTTGAGACAGAGCCTCAAGCTATCCCCCTGGGTAGAGTGCCAGGGCATCACACTCACAGCAACCTCCAACTCCTGGGCTCAAGCGAGTCTCCTGCCTCAGCCTCCCAAGTAGCTGGGACTACAGGCACCTGCCACAACGCCTGGCCATTTTTTGGTTGCAGCCATCGTTGTTTGGCGGGCCCGGGCTGGGGATTCTAACCCGCCACCTTAGATGTATGTGGCTGGCGCCTTAGCCTCTTGAGCCACAGGTGCTGAGCCCATCCTGGACATTTCATATAAATGGGACCATAGAATAATGTGGTTCTTTGTCACAGGCTTTTCACTTAGCATGTTTTGTGTTTTGAAAGTTCATACATGTTGTATGTATTAGTACTTGAGTCTTTTTAATTAACAAAAAAAAATTGCATTGGGGCGGCACCTGTGGTTCAAGGGAGTAGGGCACAGGCCCCATATGCCAGAGGTGGTGGGTTCAAACCCACCCATGGCCAAAAACTGGGGAAAAAAAAAAAACATTGCGTGGATATATTTTGTTTGTTAATTCATCTGTTGATGGATACACCACTTTTTGGTGATTGTAACACCAGTCATGTACAGGATTTTATGTAGACCTATGTTTTCCCTGCTCTTGGATATGTGTCTAGGAGTGGAATAACATTACTGAGTCTGGTAACTACTTTTACCATTCTAAGGAACTCCAAGACTTTCCCAAAGTAGCTGCATGCACCATTCTGCATTCATGCTAGCAATGTGTGAGGATCCCTTTTTCTCCCTCTCCTCACCAGATCACCTATATTTCCAGCTATCCTAGGATAGATATAAAGTGGCATATCATTGTGGTTTTGATATACATTTTCCTGATGATTAACAGTGCTAAGCACCTTTTCTGTGTCTTATTGGCCATTTATGTATTTTCTTTGAAGAAATCTCTTCAAATCCACTGTCCTGTTTATAGTTAGGGTTATTTATCTCATTATTGTTGAGTTATAAGAGTTCTTTATGTCATTCATATACAAGCCTCTTATCAGATATGATTACAAATATTTTCTCCCATTCTGTGGATTGTCTTTTCACTCTCTTGATATTGTCCTTTTAAGCACCAAAGTTTGTGATTTTCATGAAGTCAAATTTATGTTTTTTCTTTTGTCACTTGTGCTTTTCAGTGTAGGAGGAGTTTTAATAAGCAAAACTTTGTAGTTTATTAGTAGAGTGTCAATTCCAGTGAATGATATTTATGAAAATAATGTGTTTATTGTAGTGCTTATTATTTTAACAAATTAGTAAAATTCAACAGCAGCCACTTTTTGCTGAATTTCCTAGGTTCAAATAATTTTTTTGTTTTCTGTTTTGATTAACTACCTGTTCGGAAATGTTAAACAGTAACAAATGAACCTACAAATTTGCATATGATGGTTTTACTTCTTAAGATAATACCATAGTCTTTAAGGATAAGAAGAATACTTTTAAAATATATTGCTTGTACTTCAAAACATATACCCGTGTTTTTTATATGTATTTACTTTTAACAACTGCTAGGTGCTGTGATCCTCTTGGGAATCACATAACTTTGTATTTTTCTTTAGCTTTAATAGAGCTTTTTGATAATTATAACTTAAATTTTAATACGGCATTTTATACATTATTTTAGTTTTCATTTATTATATTATAGAATGCTTAGTCTTAGAAATACTGAAAAAATGTGTAATAAAAAAGGATATGTTCCTCATTCTGCACCTCAAACACCCCAGTCCCACTCATTAGTAGCATTTATATTAACCATTTGTTAACCGTTCTTCTATAATGTTATGTGTATATTTGTAGATCTTTATAAACACTCATGCATTTTTTGCACAAAACACTTTTTTAAATTGGGGAACAGAGGTATATTAAAGATCTTTTTTTGTCATCACATTTTGATCTTACTGTAATAAAATCCTTTTGTGGTATTTAGTATTTAAGAGAGCTTTCTTTCTGCTAATTCAAAGTAAATTGTTACCATAATGAATTTTCATAATGTAGCAGATTTTTGTAACTGTCATCCTGAAATTTGAATTTATTTGTGTGTGGTGTTTTAGGAATTGCTTTCCTCTGAAACAGAGACTGCTATTTTACCACCATATTTGTCTTCATCTCTACCTCCCCCAGAAGAATTCTATGCTGTTCAAGTGAAACATGTTGTCTCACCTAATGAGGTATGTAACCTAAATGACAGTTGTGATCAAAAATATAGCAAGCTTTACTAGTCTTATTAAACACTAGGATTGACTCTTCATTTCTTCTTCTTCCTGATTTTAAGTCATTAAAAATTGTTGACCTCTATAGTTTGCCCCTATAATATCCTGTTCAAATATTTGTTCACATTTACAGCAAGTATTTCTTAAGCCCATGCTGGGTTCCCAATGTTGTACTGCTTCATTCAGTGTTATGTTTTTGGTGATTATTTAGATTTTTAAGGTGGAACTCTTTCCACTGGTTAAATCGTGAACATCTCATTCCCCTGCCCTCTTCGTGCTTCTCACCCTGCCCTGGGTTCTTCCATGCCATTTCCTCATCATGTCTGTCTGCCCCTTGGAATATAACTCTATGAAGACAGTCTGTGTTGTTCATTGATGTATCCCCAGCACCTAGAATAATGCCTGATACGTACACGTATAGCAGGCACCTGATGAATATTGATTGAATGAATAAATACACTGAAGAAAATTCAGTGGCATGTCTTTGGAAGAAATGATAAGTAGCATCAACAACTGCTTCAGCCTTTCACACAATAAGCCATTCTTTTGCAGGCAAGGGGAGGATCTTCTGTCTGATTTCACAGAGGGCATGGTAGTATACAGCTTTTGCTGGTTTTTATAATTTTTGTATTGGTCATTTTACTGTTGCATAACAAATTACCCCAAACTTACTGGCTTAAAACAAATAAGGGTCAGAAATCTGGGAGCTGCTTAATTAAGTCCTTTAGCTGAGGATCTCTCCTAAGGTTGCAGTCAAGATCTGGGTGGACAGTACAGAATCCACTTCCCAAAGGACTCACTCAGTGCCGGGCCTGTGCCCGGTGTCTTTGGCTGTCTGCTCACAGCATGGCTGCAGGGTCCTGGAGCGTGCTGTCTCTGAAGCGCCACCAAGACAGAAGCCAAGTGTCTCTCACAATCCAGTCTTCAGCAGTCAGGCACCACCATCACCTCAGTCATGTTCTCTTGATCACAAGATAAGTGTGGAAGAATGTGAGAAGGATACAGGGAGCATCAGGAGGCGGTGATCCCTGGGGTTGCCCTTGGAGGCTGCCTGGCATAATAATTTTGTCCACATAAATGAATACTAAAAATTACAGAATTTGAAAGTTTTTTCCTTTCCTTCTCCCCACATAGGTGTATATTTGCCTTGATTCTGTAGACCACTATAATCACTGTAACCAGCACAGTGACACAGATGATAGTGGAGTCAGCTGGGAGTCAGAATCTGAGAGCCTCGATGAAGCACTGCAGAGGTGTAATAAGAATGTGGAGATGTTTCCTCCTCTGACAGATTTTAGAACAGGTATAATGTATAACTTTTTGAATGAAATATAATTCTTAATAAAACTTTTACTTTAATGGGCTGAGGAGTTTGGGCTATTTCTAATGTCAGTCAATATTTTCTGAGGGAAATACCTCACATGCATACTTTCTTTGGCTCCTCAAGATACCTGTTAGGGGTGCCCAAACTCTTTTCTTCTTTGCTTCACTTTGGAAAAAGCAGCATTGGCCACACTTTATGTACACAAACACTAACAGAAGTTGATTAGCAACAGAAAAGCCCATGCATGTTTTTTGTGACATCTGACACCACAGATAAGCAAAAAAGTCTTCACAAAATCATCATGTGGCCCATAGGCCACTGATTGGACACCCCTGCAAGTGTAGATGACTTTATAGATTAGGAAGACTAAGAGAAGTTAGGGGACTCCCCTGACACACTTTTACTTTCCAAAAATCAGGCTGTGTTAGAGAATTGTATAAAGATGATTTTCTAAGATTGCAGTTTTACCAGTAGCTGAAATTATGAGAGTTGTCATTCAAGACCTTAATAGCAAAATATTAATTATAAGCCACATAAGATGATAATTTTGAAGTGAGGGCTCAAACTATATCCATTTCTGTCAAGTAGGTCAGTCTATTCTTCTCATCTTTATTAACTAGGTGTGTGTGATTTTCCTGAGGAAAATGTTTCTAGTTAGTGCAAAATGTGATACATAGAGATGTATTTATGCTTGCTGTTTTGTACATATCAGAAGCTATTTGAGCGAAAGAAAAAGACACATCAGCCTAATGTCTGAGATTTTAATTGGTTGTGGCTTGCTTTTAGCTGATAAATTCTCTTTGCTTTTATCCTCTGCCTGAACTCTTCTTCCTCCTCCAAACTGTCTGTGACAGTTTTGATCTCTGTTTATTGAAGGTCTGCCCTAACTTCCTTAAGTAAAGAAGCACAATCTCCAATCCCCACCATCCCCCTCTTACTCTCATGTTGCCAGCAAATAAAAGGGTACCTGACACAAGCAGGTACTTGTAAATATTGAATGAGTGAAAGAATAAACTCAGTATTTCTTTTATATGCTCAGATTTATAATCAGGAAGACATAATTCCTTCATTGTGTTCATATCTCAAGGGAAATCACACAAACAATCTGCGTATGATAATTTATGGAGCTGTACATAATTATGTATTTTTATATAGGTATTTTATACTTCAATAAAAAGTTTTAAGTATGCATACGGTCAGATTAATTCAAAGGCAAATGCCTGTTAAATAGGTACATTTGGAGAAGGAATTTATATTGAAGGGGTGGTTTTATGAATTAAAATAAGATGACAGTAGATTTTTTGTTTTAAAGTTTTATTTGGGGAGATGAAACTTAAGTTTTTAAGGCTAGAAACAGTAAAAGTTAGAAGGGATTGTTTAAGTGATTCAGTTATTTACTATGCAGAAGAGCTCTGCTAGATGAGATTATTTACTGTTCTACTGGTGACTATATATGCAAGAAATTGTTTATAAATCTCTGCTAAAATCATTTGAAATAAAAATCTGTGTACATTAGTCATTTAGTGTCGATGCTGCTTACCCAAACTTGATTCCTCCTTGTGAAATTATATCGAAAAAAACATGAAAACATAAGGGAGGAAGTAGAGCAAGAGAGGCACATGCCGTCTACTCTGAAATCTAAGCATGTACGGAGAAAAGGGAAGGATATGCTATACTAATTTTTCCAGTTTTACTCAAGCCTAGTCTCATTAGCATACTTTTTACTGAGCATGTATTTGTGCTAGGTACCATTATTGTTAATAATACAAATACAAATATTGTTAATAATACGAATGACAGTTCTACACTAAAGAACAGGTGGTCTAACAGAAAAGAGACATGTCAAAAAAGCACAATATGAAAAGAACAGCTCGTATTAAAGGAGTAGGTATGATGCCATGGGATCACAGAGAAAGCAGTGATAAGTAGTTACTAATCAGGGATTTATAAAAGTTATGTTGCAGTTCTTTGAAAAGAAGAGATGTTTACCGTAAAAAAAGGCTCAGGGGAACATTCTAGATGGGGGGGCAGCCATGAGCTAAAATATATTAAGTAATTCTGTTTAGGTAAATCATTGAGGATATGGTAGGAACTATATAGAAAAACAAACAGTCTGTAAATTGCAATGCTGAGCATTTGGTGATCACAGGCAGTTAATATGCCATTGAAGAATAGTAAATGAGAGCAAGGTAATTGGACTTTAAAAATTAATCCTAGTGGTCTTAAAGAGAATGGATTGGAGGAGGATAGATTTGAAGCCAGGAACAGCAGAAAAAACATATTTATTGTCCCCAAACCAAAAGTGATTAGGGGAGGTTAGGAAGTGGGACAATGGTAAGATGAGCTAAGTCCCAGGGAGTAGAAGAACTAGGAACTCAAGAACAGAAATGCCTTTCTTTGAATCTTAATCCTTACAAATTAGTGGAGAAAAATTTATCAGAGAGAAGCTAACACAGGCTAACAGTTCATAGTTTAGTTCTGGATGATGGACATATATATGGTTGTTAAATATTCTTTGTACTCTTCTGTATAAAAAACATTTCTGATAGATGATATCAGTGTACATTTATGGGGTACATGTGACATTTTGTTACATGCATGGAAAGTGTAATCATTAAGTCAGGTATTTGGGCTCTCCATCCCTTCAAGCATTTATCATTTTTATGGGGGTGGGAGCATCTTAAGTCCTCTTTTCTAGCTATTTTGAAATAGACAATATATTGTCAGCTATAGTCACCCTACTGTCCTGTTGAATATTAGAACATGTTCTCTCTAATTATGTTTGTGCCCACCAACCATATTAACTGACCTTTCTTCACCTCCTGCTCCCAATATACACCCCTATCCCCGCCTCCAGGAACCAGCAATCTACTCATTAGCTCCATGAAATAAATCTACTTTCTTAGATTTCACACATGAGTGAAACATGAGTGAGAACATGCAATGTTTGTCTTTCTATGCTTGGCTCATTTCACTTAATGTAATGACTTACAGTTCCATGTTGGCCACAGATGACACTATTTCATTCTTTTTTATGGCTCAGGGGCATTCTATTCTGTATATGCACCACATTTTCTTTATGCAGTCCTGTACTGACAGACACTTGGGCTAATTTCATATCTTTGCTATTGTAAATAGTGCTGCAATGCTGGCAGTACAGATATCCTTTTGTAATACTGATTTCCTTTTCTTACGATTAAAAAAAAAACATTTTTAATAAAATATAAGGCAATGTTTTTTCCCTTTTTTCTGTCTTTCCAGAAATGCCTTGCCTTGCAGAATATGATGATGGCTTATGGTATAGAGCAAAGATTGTTTCCATTAAAGAATTTAATCCTTTAACTGTTCTAGTACAGTTTGTTGATTATGGATCAACTGAAAAGCTGACAGTAAACAGGTAAAAAAATAAAGTCAACTTAGTTGAATTAGTACTTAGTTTTGTTTTTGGAGGGGTATTTTTGGTTAGTTCTTTATTGAGAGGATTTTGCCTCTTTTAAAAGAAAAATCTCGGCTTGGTGCCCGTAGCACAGTCTTTATGGCACCAGCCACATACACAGAGGCTGGTGGGTTCAAACCCAGCCCAGACCAGCTAAAACAACAATGACAACTGCAACAAAAAGCCAGGCATTGTGGCAGGTGCCTGTAGTTCCAGCTACTTGGGAGGCTGAGGCAAGAGAATCTCTTAAGCCCAGGAGTTGGAGGTTGCTGTGAGCTGTGACACCACAGCACACTACAGAGGGCAATATAGCGAGACTCTGGCTTGAAAGAAAAAAATCTCTTAAAGCCATTTATAAGGAATTTGCAATCCAGACTTTTTTTTTTTGTAGAGACAGAATCTCACTTTGTCACCCTCAGTAAAGTGCCGTGAAGTCACACAGCTCACAGCAACCTTCAACTCCTGGGCTTAGGCGATTCTCTTGCCTTAGCCCCCCGAGTAGCTGGGACTACAGGCACCCGCCACAACGCCTGGCTATTTTTTTTTGTTGTAGTTTGACCAGGGCCGGGTTTGAACCCTCCATCCTTGGTATATGGGGCCAGCGCCCTACCCACTAAGCCATAGGCACTGCCCTGGATTTTTGTTAAAATGTATATATTTTACCATTTTAGCTATTTTTAAGTATGCTATAGACATTAAATACCAGTCACATTATACAGTTATCACCACATTTTATTTTCAGAACTTTTTTTGTCATTCTAGATAGAAACTTTGCACTCATCAAACAATAGCATCCTAGTTCATTTTCTCCCAGTCCCTGGCAACCTAGCTCAATGAATTTGCCTATTCTAGGCACCTCATATAAGGAAAATCATACAATATTTGTCCTTTTGTGTCTGGCCTGTTTCACCTAGCATAATGTTTTTCAGAGTCATTTATGTTATAGCATAGGTCAGAATTTCCTTCCTTCTTATGACTGAACAATGTTACATTACAGCCGGGTGCAGTGGTTCATGCCTGTAATCCTAGCACTTTGCGAGGCTGAGGCAAGTAGATCACTTGAGCTCATGAGTTTGAGACCAGCCTGAGCCACAGTGAGACCCCATCTCTAAAAATAGCCAGGCATTGTGGTGGATGCCTGTAATCCCAGCTCCTCGGGAGGCTGAGGCAAGAGAATCGCTTAAACCCAAGACTTTGATGTTGCAGTGAGCTTGAAGCCGCAGCACTCCACCCAAGGCATCAAAGTGAGACTTGTCTCAGAAAAGAATAATAACATTCCATTTTATGTATGAAGTCTTCAAAAAGTTCATGGAAAATGCATATCACAAAAAAGTGCAGGGATTTCAGTTTTTTGCCACAAAACTTTTAAAAATACATCTCCTAAAACATACTTAAAAGATGAACTTCTATTGACTTGTCACAACATATCTGAGGAGGATCTAGATGTCAAGGCACTGTGACATCAGTTTGAAAAGAACAAGATGAATTCTTTTAAAATCTAAGGAAAACCAAACATCAAATTTATAGTGAAGCTTGAGTGAAAGAATGGTGAAATTACAATGCTTTACAAAAAGTTTACAGGATCATGCCCCAAGGAAATCAGCAGTTATAAAGGGATAGATAGCTCATTTTGCGAAGGGAATGAGACAATTTTGAAGATGAAGCCCACAGCAGCAGACGATCCACATCAATTTGTGAGAAAAAAATTAAACATGTTTTTATCTAATTGAATAGGACCAACAATTAACAGCAGAGACAACAGCAAACACCATATGTATCTCAATTGGTTCAACTTACGCAATTCTGACTAAAAAATTAAAGTTGAGCAAACTTTCCACTTGATAGGTCCCAAATCTTTTGCACCCAGATTAGCTGCAGGCAAGAGCAGAGCTTTCAGTGGAAATTTTAAACAAGTGAACTCAAGATCCTGAAGCAGTTCTTTGAAGAATTTTAACAGGAGATAAACATGGCTTTCCCAGTATGATCCTAAAAGCTCAGTCAAAGCAATGGCTACCAAGGGGTAGACATGTTTTAGTCAAAGTAAAAGTGAACTGGTCAAGAGAAAGGGTCATGGCAAGAAGTTGTTGGGATGCTCATGGCATTTTGCTTGTTGACTTTCTGGAGGGTCAAAGAATGAATGATATGTGTTACATCTGCTTATCATAAAAGTGTTTTGAAAAAGCTGAAAAACACCCCTGAAGGCTTTACCAGAAAGTCCTTCTCCACCTTAACTGTGTTCTTGTTCATTCCTCATAAAACAAGGGCAATTTTGCAAATGTTTCAATGGGAAATCATTACTCATCTACATGTACCTTACACCTTAAAGTCCTGATTTGGCTTCTTCTGACTTCTTTTTGTTTCTTTTTTTTTTTGAGACAGAGCCTCAAGCTGTCACCCTGGGTAGAGTGGTATGGCATCATAGCTCACAGCAACCTCCAACTCCTGGGCTCAAGCGATTTTCTTGCTTCAGCCACCCAAGAAGCTGGGACTACAGGCGCCCACCACAACACCTGGCTATTTTTTTTGTTGCAGCCATCATTGTTGTTTGGCAGGCCCAGGGTGGATTCAAACCTGCCAGCTCAGGTGTATGTGGCTGGTGCCTTAGCTACTTGAGCCACAGGCACTGAGCCTTCGTTTCCTAATCCAAGTCTTTATGTTTCCCAATCTTACAAAGTCTTTAAAGTGCACCCATTTTTTGTCAATTAATAATGGAAGAAAAGACCACACTGATGTGGCTGAATTCCCAGGGCCTCAATTCTTCAGGATATTGGCTAGTATCATTGCTTTTACAGAAATGTCTTGAATTTGGTGGAGCTTATGTTGAGAAATAAATTTTATATTTTTATTTTCATCTTTTACATGAATTTTTGAAGTCCCTTCATTTAGTACATACTACATGTTAATTATCCCTTTACTGGTAGATTGACACTTGGGTTGCTTCCCCTTTTTTGCTATTGTGAATATGAACATGGGTGTACTTTTCCTGCTTTTCATCATTTTAGGTATATACCCAAAAATGGAATTATTGGATCATATGCTAATTCTGTGCTTCATTTTTTTTTTAAGGAACCATCACACTGTTTTTCACAGCAGCTCTACATTTCATATTATCACCAACAGCACCCAAAGATTCCATTTTCTCCACATTCTCACCAATATTTGTTTCCTTTCTTTCTTTCTTTCTTTTTTAGAGAAAGAGTTTAACTTTGTTGCCCTCAGTAGAGTGCTGTGGCATCACAGCTTACGGCAACCTCAAACTCCTGGGCTTAGGCAACCTCCAACTCCTTGCCTCAGCCTCCTGAGTAGCTGGGACCACAGGCGCCCTCCATAATCCCTGGCTATTTTTTGTTGCAGTTTGGCCGGGGCCAGGTTTGAATCCGCCACCCTCGGCATATGGGGCCAGCCTCTTTTCTTTTAATAGTAGCCATCCTGATGGGTTTGAGGTGGTTATCTTATTGTGGATTTTATTTGCATTGTGATGTTGAGCATCTTTTCATGTTCTTATTGGACATTTATGTATCTTCTTTGAAGAAATGTCTACTTTTATTTGTATTTTCTCCATTCTCTGTTGTGTCTCTTGGTACACAAGTCCCATTTTATCTGATTTCTCTTTTGTTTCCTGTGCTTTTGGTGACATATCCAAATTCATTCCAAAATCCAGTATTAGGCTCTTTCCATTTTCTTCTACGAGTTTTGTAGTTTTACCTACAATTTTAATTGTGACATTATAAACATTTTAATTTAAGAATTTCTTTTGTTACAGACTGCGTCAAATTCCTCTTCATCTCATGCAATATCCAGCACGAGCTGTAAAGGTTCTCTTGGCAGGGTTTAAACCTCCCCTAAAAGATTCAGGAAAGACAAGAATACCATATTGTCCTGAATGGAGCATGGAGGCATTGTGGGCTATGATAGACTGTCTTCAAGGAAAGCAACTTTATGCTTCTTCCATGGTAAATATGTCTTAATTAGCCAAAATTATTTTAAAGCTATTGCTGTGGTCTCTGTTAAGTTTGTAAAGTGCTTTGTTTGCAACTCTACCTACAAAAATTAACAAAGCAAAGCATATAGACTATCTCTATGAGATGAATTTTAAGGCTTATTAAAATGCTTGGCCAAGCATAGTGGCTAGTGCCTGTAATCCTAGTAATTTGGAAGGCCAAGGAGGGTGAATTGCTTGAATTTAGGAGTTCCAGACCAGCCTGAGCAAGAGCAAGGCCTGTCTCTACTAAAAACAGAAAAATTTTCTAGGCATTGTGGCAGGCGCCTATAATCCCAGCTACTCAGGAGGCTGAGGCAAGAGAATTGCTTGAGCCCAAGAGTTTGAGGTTGCTGTGAGCTATGATACCATAGCTGTCTACTGAGGGCAACAAAGTGAAACTGTCTCAAAAAAAAAAAAAAATGTCTTAAGGGCTTGGGTATGTTTAGCATTTTTTTAGTACCTTACAGTGACATAAAATATCATTAATTATGGAATCAAGTAACAGAGGTATAGGTAAATTTCAGGATCGGGGAGTGCAATAAGTGACTATTTACATGGGGAGAGTTCAGTAAAGGGTGTTTAAGCTCTTTCCTGGCAGGCAGTCCAGTACAGGAAAGAGACTGCATTCTAAAAGAAGAGTGGGAAAGAAAGGAGTCTGGTCATCATAGAAAGGCTTGAATTGGCTGGGTGCGGTGGCTCGCACCTATAATCTCAGCATTCTGGGAGGCTGAGGTGGGTGTGGTTTGCCTGATTTCATGAGTTCAAGACCAGCCTGAGGTAGCCTGAGACCCCTTCTCTTAAAAAAAAAAAAATAGCTGGGCGTTGTGGTGGGTGCCTGTAATCTCAGCTCCCAGCTACTTGGGAGGCTGAGGCAAAAGAATCACTTGAGCCCAAAAGTCTGAGGTTGCTGTGAGCTATAATGTCATAGCAGTCTACTGGGGGTGACAAAGCAAGACTGTGTCTCAAGAAAAAAAAAAAGGCTTGAATTATACTAAATTGTACTAATCTTATAATCATACTAATTTTAAATTGTTTCATGTAGTTGAACCCATATCAGGTCAAATAAGTAGGCTGAGTTCTACAAGGGGGAAATTTTTCAAAACATTAAGTTAGAAATTCCAGACTGCTTAACATAAACATGCTTTCTACTTCTGAGGTTTAGGATGTCACAAGGGAATTAGACAGAATCTTGCCCACACCATGTTTAATTTAGTGTATAGTGTTGTAAAATTGGAAATTTCACACTGAAAGCCTGTATTTCAGGCTTCTGATTAAAGTCCAGGAATCTTGGATCTGCCCCTGGAAGCGGCAGTCAGCTGCATGGGTAGCAACAGCCCTACGGATGGGGGCCACACCTTCCTACCAGCCAGGCCTCACCACCGGTGTGCAGCCCACCTGCTTTCCACCTTTGCAGCACCTGCCTGGTCCTGTGATTTTGGAATTTCTGGCATACTGACTATGCCTATGACAAAAATGAACTCATAATGAAACAGTACTGTTAGTAGGAAGTGCTTTTTGAAAACCTCAGCATGTTTCATGCTATTGTGTGTACAGAGAGCCATGTAAATAGCACATGTGAGGTTTCTCTCAAGAACAGAGAAAATATAGACAGGGCAAGTATTTCTTATAGATACATATTTCTTCACCTCTGAGTAACATTCAAAACTTGGGTCAGTATATTAGGGTTCTCTCCAGAGAGTCAGAACCAATAGGATTTGAGAGGATTTATAAGGGAATTGGCTCATCTGAATACACAGGCAAGGTACGATGGTAGGCCATCTACACCTTGGAGATGGATCAGTCCAGAGGCTTCAGAACTGGGGAAGTAGACAGGCTTTCCCTATACCAGGGTCCGAGAGCCCCTGTGAGGCTACTGGTGCAAGTCCTACAGTTCAAAAACTAAAGAACATGGGAGTCTGATGTTCAAGAGTAGGAGAAAAAAAGGCATCCCACTCTGGGAGGAAGAGAGAGCAGAAAGAATCCCTCCTCCTTCTACTTGTGTAGCCCAGCCTCCTCAAGCCTGCCCCTATTGAGGGCAGGTCCTCCTCTCCTGGTCCACTGACTCAGTGTGAGTCTCTTTTAGAAACACCCTCATATACTCACCAAGGAGCGCAGTACCTCTCCAGCCATTGGGGCATCCCTCAATCCAGCCAATTGACACTTAAAATTAACTATCACGGTCAGTTTATGCATAAACATCTACTGTATGGAATACAAATAGACTTTAGATGGTGGTGTTAAAAGCCCATTAGCTCCATCTAGGAGAACCTTCTGGAGGAGGAATTTAAGAAGAATGGAATTTAATAGGGAACCATCACAGATGTCTTTTGGAAGTAGAGTATAAATTATAAATAAATCTAGAGAATGCCTTTTCCTTTCTATGTGAATGGCCACATGTAGGAAGGAAAAGGCAGCAAAGACATTACTGTGTTCTCTTTACAACTGTATCTTTTAATTTTAGGCTCAGGCACCAGAGCAAATAGTGACATTATATGAAGACGAGCAGAACGCAGTTCATATGTCCTTAGTAGAAGTGGGGCTCGCAGACGTAGATGAATGATGTAAGTTCTCCTACCCCTCAGAGTCAGCATAAGGCATGGGAATAACACAGCAAAGATTAATGCCAAATTGGTCTTTAAGCACCCTTGGGTTCCCTTTGACTTCTCAAAGGAATGATGGCAAAGCTCAACAAGAATCTCTCTTCCAGATATAGTTAAGCACCCATGTGAAAGAAGCCCCATATATAATAATGTTTGGGATGGCTGTCATGACTCCTAGCACCAGACGGGTGAGAGAGTGGGACACCATGATGTGTGCACATGAATGTTTGATGTGCACCTATAACTGCTGAACAGTATACTCATAACAAGTTATTAAAATACGTGGGTAACCAGCTAACTCTTTTATCTTATCCATAACAAGAGATTAAGCAACAAGATCTGAACATTAACATTCAGCAAAGGTTTAAAATAAAATATTTTGTTTTTCAGGTGCACAATACAGAGCATATGTAGCAGCCCAGAAGGAAGTTTTGTATTTAGACCATTGGGGGCTTACTTTTCTTGACTTGTTCTGCAATAGTGCTCTCCCCTCCCCCTCTTGCTTATTCTTACATGTTGAACCACTAGAAATTGTGTGGAAGAAATCAGAAAAAATAGTTAATAAAAATTTGCTTTCAAACATTTGCTTACTTTATTATAATTTCAAAATGAAATAGTTTAGACACATGAAAAAGTTTTAGTTTCTTTTATAACTCATGATTCAGTTTAAGAAATAAGAAACTTATCAGTACAGTTGTAGGTGCCTATATCACCCTTCCCAATCACATTCTCCCCTCTGATGTAGAGATGAGCAGTCCTGTTGTGATTTGGTGATTATCATTCTTTTATAGGTTTTTACAATTTTAATCTATGAATGTATCCATAAATGATATATAGTATTGCTCTGTATATTTTTAAATGTATTATGTGGTATCACACAATTGTCTTTTATTTTCTATTTGCACCATGTATCCATGTTGGTATATATAGCTTTATCTTATTTTTACTGCTACATGCTAATTTGTTAGATATTTAGTTAACAGTTTTTCACAATTACAAATCTTCTGTAAGACCCTTGGGTACGTGTGAGAGGTTTTCTAGTACATACACATAGTAGTGGAATTTGCAGGGTCATGGAGTAATTGCTTTCTAAAAAGTAGCTCTTCCAATTTACTTCACTATCAGTTGCCTGAATTCTTGCCTACACTTGGATGTAGCCAGACCTTTATTTGCCCGACTGTGATACTAGTAAGAAAAGTTATCTCTATGTTTTAATGTGCTTCCTGGCTTGTTAGTGAACATTCTCAGTATTCTGTACTTTATTGTTCATATCCTTTGTCTTCTAGTCAGTTGCTTGCAAGTTTCCTATTGCTTTGTAGAAAAGGGATTGGCATAATCCTTTGTCAGGAATATGTATGGCATGTCCTTTCCCTGTTTTGTTGTATCTTTTGACAAACTTTCCCCTCGTTTATCAACCTTTTCCTTTAAAGCTTGTGCTTTTTGTGTCTCATTTAAAAATCCTTCCCCCTCCTGAGGTTATATATTTAAATCCATTATTTACTTGGAAAAGTTTTAAAGTTTGTTCATATTCAGTTATCAAAACATCTGGATTTGATACATTTTGGGTTTTTTTACATTGTCAACATTTGTTATATTTGCACAGGTAAGGTCTCATCTTATTATTACACATATTTACAAACAGGTGACCCACCCTTCTTTCAATGGACACCATTTTTGAAAAGTTGTAAACCAACCTTGTTTTATAATTGCTTTCTTATCCCTATGATTATCTACTACCTTTTGTACTATTTGACCTATTTGTATTCATTCATTGTTACAATCAGCAAACCTCGAATTTTGGTACTAATTGAACACAGTGCTACTTTGGCTGGAGAGCTTCCTTTACTTCTTAAGTCTACTTTATATGCAGGTCCTTCCATGGCTGATGTGCCTATGGGACGTCTGTGTGATGGACTTTCTGTACTACATTTTGTTTGAAATAGTGTTTCACTCTGTCACTTGAGCTAGAGGGCAGTGGATTCATCATAGCTAACTGTAGCCTCCAAGTCCTAGGCTCAAGCCATTCCCCCCTCCCCACCCAGCCTCCTAAAAGTGGTAGGATTTTAGGCACAGCCACCCAGCCTGGCCCTTCTTGGTTTTTAATAATTCTTCAACCAATAAAAGCACCCATTTATTAAAGAACTATACACAGTTTATAACCAGGTAGTAATACTTTCATTAGTCTTAAATGTAGAAAGATAGGGTAGGTGGATTATAAATAAAAGCTGTCTTTGTTGTATTTCAAAGAATATAAAAATGAAGATGCTACAGGGCAAACTTTTATTTTAGAACCCATACAATCTTTTCCACTTGTACACACAGACACTCTATATAATGAGTGAATCTGCAAGAAATGTACATTTTTAAAACAAGTCAATCAGTTAGTGTTACTTCATGATTAGTCACACAAGAATCATTACAATTCTGTGTCCATTAGAACATTACCATCCTTGTCCTTAACTCTTATTCGACCAGATATATACTTTGTTTCTTGATGACCATTTGCATATACAGTTTTAACAGTGCCATCTGGATATTCCCGTCTCTTGAACTGGGAAGTATGTAGTTCTCTTTGGCCGTTATTAAACTCTATGATTTTGTTGCCATCCCTATAAAATTTAAAATAGAATTTCTTTAAAAATTAGGAAGTATACAACAGGAAAACTATTTAAAAGTAGACTTTTGATTCTGACTTTTTTTTTAGAGACATACTTTGTTTTTTTCCCTATATAATTGCAGATTCTTTCTACAATGTTTCTGATAGTTCCAATCATCAGATTAGCCCTTCTGTGTGCCCATGAAGGTTATTTTAATGAATTCATATTTTCACCACAAAAAATGCTTAAGTTTTTTTTAACTTTACATGTGTTCTATCTCTAAGAAAAAGCATTGACCCTCCTTATCACCAAATCATCTCAGCACCTGCTCTATCTATCAGGTGGGGAACAGAGCAGCATTCCTGGGAAGGGGCACCATCAGACTTAACATCTGTTTTGCAACAATGGAACAAAAAGCAGAATATGAAAAATAACACCAAGTTGACTGCTTGAAGTGCTTGTGAGACATTCAAACTGACCTCACCCCTCTGTAATGTGCCATTAAAGAAACAGGCTGGGGTAAAGACCAGGAATCAAGACTTCTGAACAGCCAGACAGGCACTATAGGTGAACATGATGATGTCATACCGTTGTACTCTGACAATTGTACCATCTGGGAAAATGCTTTCTTCTTGTCCATCAGCAAATAAGTTTTTAACAGTCAGGTCAGGAAATGTGATTTCCTTTCTTCCATCTGGGAAATGTTTTTCTGTTTAAGAAAGGTTATTGTAAATATTTTATTTTTTAAAGGATAGAAAGAAGAGCAGAGCCAAGTTTGTACCTATCTGTCCACTTGAGAAATGTAAGACTTCTAGTCCTTCTGGATATGTGGTGTGAGTGGTCTGGGCAGCTGCATAGTAGTAGATCTGTAAAGACACAAAGTCAGGACACCTTCTCCCCAGAGACAGCTAAGCTACAGAGGATGACCCTGTGGAAACGTACCACTCTCTCATCTGGCATGACCTGTTTCACGTCACCATTAAAGAATGTGACAGTGACAGTCTTCCCATCTGCACTCACTTCCTTCCGAGTTCCATTGGGAAACAGTATAACACGACACCCATTCTTATAAACTTTTTCTACCTTAAAAAACAAAAACAAACAAAAAACCATGAGATTGTCACTAGGGAAGATTTCCTCTTAATACCACATTAATAAAATATACCTTAATTCTTCCAATTGTCTACTTTGAAGTTTTCATAATAAAAAGTAAAACATTCTCTCAAAATAGCCTTTTAATTCATCAGGAGTTGCAAACTAGTGATTTTTCTGATTCCTCTTCCATTTATTAGCTGGAATTTACCTAAAAAAATGAAAACCTTTTCTTTTCAATTATTTGTTACCTTAAGGTCAACTATGCACAAAAAAAGTCTAACAACTTTTAACTGCTGTTCTTTGTCTTCCTCTCATTCCTTAAGGCTAGCAGTAAACTCCAATCAATGATTACAATTAACAATAGGTCAGATTAGGGTATGTAAAAATAAATTTTCCATACACCTAGTCTTATCACCTCTCTCTAACAAACCTTCGTTATGTCCTTTCCCTTCTCTTTCTCTTTCTTAACTGGAACACCACCAGGCAGTCCTCTCACTCAGAAACTTCCCTAAACACCAGAATAAATTGTGCAGGCTGAGGATGGAGAAAATGGCCCCTGAGTCAGGAGCTATGTAAGGGAAACTGCAAGAGAAAAAGGCCTAAAATGAATGAGGCCTTTTATTTAATTAATTAATTAATATATATATTTTTTTGAGACAGAGTCTCACTTTGTCCCCCTCAGTAGAGTGCCATAGAGGTAGCAACCTCAAACTCTTGAGCAAGTGATCCTCTTGCCTCAGCCTGCCGAGTAGCTGGGACTACAGGCTCCTGCCATAATGCCCAGCTATTTTTTTTTTTTTTTTTGGCCGGGGCTGGGTTTGAACCTGCCACCTCTGGCATATAGGGCTGGCCCCCTACTCCTTTGAGCCACAGGCACCACCCAATGCCCAGCTATTTTTAGAGGTTAGGGTCTGGCTCTTGCTCAGGCTGGTCTCCAACCTGTGAGCTCAGGCAATCCACCCACCTTGGCCTCCCAAAGGGCTAAGATTACCGCACCTGGCCTTGAATGAGGCTTTTTAAAAGGTGCCAAGGATTAAAAAGTCTGTTTAGTTCTGTTTGGAGCAAGAAGAAAATACTTAACAAAGGGACTGTAGCCCTCCTTTTTGCTGCATCTCTAAATCAGAAATGGCAACTAAATGTATGTTGTGTGCTTAAGCATTTTCAAAGAAGCCCAAAAAGCTCAAGCCCTAACATACTAAAGTCACCATCAGCAGTTTCAAAGATCGATTATTTTAGAATTTAAGTGTTTCAATTCTATTTTTACAGAATTCATCATTTCAAAAATGTTTTTAACCTTTCCATCAGGATGACTGATTTCTCCCTGTATTTCTTCTTCTTTTTCTTCCTTCTCTTTATATTCAGTATCTGGGAAGTTCACTGGTTCCAGTGCTTCCCTGGGTGAGGCAGCCTGTAAGGACAACACATTTCAAGCAGCTAAAACCTACACTTATTTCCAGAGCCAGATTATAATATTATATAGAGCTTTATGGCTAGTATTTGGTATTACATATAAAACATTTTCAATTTAAGTAAAAAGCCTCCTTTATACATGGTTTAGAAACTCAGTTAACAAACTGATTCCAATCCTGTGGAATCTGTTTGAATGTATAAAAATAGAGATTTACCTGCCCCTTATCTGAATGGCCTAAGTCACAAGGACGTGTAGACTTTGATCTCTGAAGTGGATTCCCTGTTAGAATCAAATTGTTAGAGTTAAGTTGTAATATTTAATTGAAATTCTTAAATTTACTAACATGGACCAACATATCCTTAGTTCATACCCTTCTTTTATGAACTGGTGTCCTTTATCCATTAATTAAGGATGCCTTAATATTTCTTTAGTAATCTGTAGTTCATTACATAAATTCAAATGTTTATATAGGCATTAAGTCCTGGGTGGCCAATAAAGACAAAAACAATCTCTGTTATCAGAGCATTTATAATCTTGAAGAAGAGATAGGCACTCAACCTTATAGACAGACCCCAAAGGTATTTTGGAGACAATCACAAGGACAGTTAAGAGCATGGTGATGCTAAAAAAGGCATAAAAAAGATAAAAAAAGGCATCCAACAATAGAGAATTTGGCTTAACCAGATAACTGGGTATTTAGTTAAAACTTAAATGCCCTTGTGGCTGGTCTAAATTTCTTATATCATGACCAGCACCCCAATTTTGTACCCCCAAAACATACATTATAAAGCAAGCACACACATACCACCAATAACAAATTGAGGCAAATGTCTTAAAAATATATTGAAGTTCTAATATTTACTTCCTATATGTCAATGGATCCTATTGTAAACACTTGACATTGAAGAAAGGATTCCAGCAAGTGCCACAATCTGAGAGTGTAACAGACTCTGAAGGCTATGGGAGAATAATCTGGGGGAACAGAGGTAGGCCATCAGCCAGGAAGTTGCTGGGTATGCAGGAAGCAATATTGCACCCCTGGGGACAGGAATGGTCCTCTCACACCTTGTGAATGTACTGCCTATAGGTCCCTAACTGCTGTATGTCAGCAGTTTGACATTATTCAACATAATTAATGGATCATCAACATTGTAATGATTAGTATAGGAACTCATGGGTGTGGAGGGAAAAGACAAAAGAAATTGGAGTACATAGAGGTTTAGGCCTAAGCAGATGACAGACAGGGCTCTGGGCAGGAGTGCTCTATCTGAGACAATTCAAGAACCTCAGCCTCCACCCCACAGGGTATATGTATAAAATAAACTGTATAAATGGGGCTGTTATATCACTTCTAATCTTACAACCACCTCTAGAGAAGAGCCGACTATTACTCCCATTTTATAAGTGAGAAAACCAAGGCTGGGAGGTTGAATAACTTGCCAAAGTTGTCAAATAATAAAAAGCAGAACCAAGATATATATATATATTTTAAGATTAATTCTCTCTCAGACTGACTATGAATTAACATTAACTTAAATCCCCAAAGTATCTACCAACTGGGCAGAATAAGGAGAAGTGACTAGGAACACAAACTGACACCATCTGGAGGACTATGTACCTCTCGACACACCAAGGACAGGGAAGTGAGCAAACACTAGGTGACTGACAGTGCTGGGACAGCTGGATGGATACTTACGGGGTATGTTTATAACCTTAAGATAGAGAGGGACTTAAGAAGCACTACCTCAAAGAAAAAAAATGAAATTCAGCTATATTAAAGTAACAATTTGGCTTCATCAAAAGATACAGGCACAGTGGCTCATGCCTGTAATCCTAGTGCTCTGGGAGGCTAAGGCCGGCGGACTGCTTGAGCTCAGGAGTTTGAGACCGCGAGACCCTACCTCTACTAAAAATAGAAAAACTAACTGGGCATTGTGATGGGCGCCTATAGTCCCAGCTACTTGGGAGGCTGAGGCAAGAGAATCACTTGAACCCAGGAGTTTAAGGTTGCTGTGAGCTATGACACCATAGCACTCTAGCCCAGGGCAACATAGTGAGACTTTGTCTCAAAAAAAAAAAAAAAAACCACACACACATAGAAAAGCTAAACCCAGGTTGGGAGGAAATATTGGCAGTGCTTGAAACTGACAAAGGATTAGTCCAGAAAATAACCTCAAGAAAAAGAAAGAACCGTCCCGCTCCCCACCAATTTTTAAATGAGCAAAAGGAAAAGAACAGGCAATTCACAAATAAGGATCCCCAAATGCCCATTAAATGTAAGAAAAGATGCTAACATCAATGGAAAAGAAGCCATACTCTGTAAAATATAACTGAAAGGTCTACTGGGAGCCAAATTTAAGGACTATGACCCAGAGACACAGCCCAGAAGCCTTGGAGCAAATGGAATGTCTATGGTGGGGTTACAGTTTGGTTCTGTACATTTTAGGGAGACAGAAATTACAGGTAAAATCATAAATCAATACATGGAAAACATACACTAATTTGGCCCCCAAACAGGGAACATATCAAAGCAAGGTGGGTTTGAAACCCATAGGTGAGTTTTAAAGATTCTTTAGCTGACAATTGGCTGAAAGAGTTAGGCTTTGTCAAAAAGACTAGGAGTCAGCAAAAAGGAAGGCCCACTAAAGAAAAGGGTCTGTTAATCAGACAAAGTACAGGACTTAAGTTCAGACTCAAGTAGTTTGTTTGTTGTGTATAATGAGGACCTACAGGTATGTCTTGCATTAGCCTTCTACCTGTTAATGAGTCACAGAGGATCTAAGAAGGGAGGGGGACATCATGAGGCTTGTCTGATCTTGTCTGTCTTTCTCATGGCCAGGCAACTCAAGTTTTAGGGGATCTCCTTAGCCAGGAGGGGTGGTCCTGTCAGCCCCACTGCTGGGGGTGGGGGGGAAGGGTTAACATTTTTTTTGTAGTTCACATTCACAAGGCCTTACCAATGCTAGGGGAATTAACTACCATTTCATATCCAACTGGCCAAAATTGTAAATTCTTTTTTTTTTTTTTTTTTTTGAGACGGAACCTCAAGCTATCCCCCTGGGTAGAGTGC